AGACATTTCAAAAACTCAGTTATTAATAGCTTACAGATTTTGCCAGACTGACTGAATGTCTAAAACACATCCTGGTAGGTTTTATCACCCATGTGCTTATGTGTCACACTCACTATAGGCCTACATGTACATGAAAACACAATGCTGCTGTATAAAGGTAAATGACTGATGTGAGAACAGTAAAATCCGGTGATGTTCACAGTTTACTAAAACATTTCTGTATGTCCGTCAGTCCACTAGGAGGCAACATAAGTCAACATTTATAACTTAAAGACTCGTCAAAAATCTATGATCCTTCTATGAAACATAAAAGTGTTAGAATGCTTGATCTGGTTTCTTTTCTTCTTACTTGTGAGTTGCTCACTGTGGATATTTGACTCCCCCCCATGCAAACAGCACTATGTATCCTGGATGCCGTACCTGAGCATGACATGTATCTTCACCTACATCCTCAGCTTCGGCATGGGACCAGGTCAGTTAAACATTTTTGGAGACTTTCTGCATTAGGGTTTTACATGAAACAGTCTCAATGTCGTCTGTAGAGGTTCTCAGTCATCCAGATTATAGCTGTCCAAGGAAGGTTAAAATCAAGGGCAACAGGACTTGGTTGAAGATACTAAAACACGTTTCGTCCCTCATCCAAGAGACTTCTTCAGTTCTGACTGGTAACGTAGGGAAACTCAGCTATTTAACCTCTGTGGGGTTGTTTGCCAAGATGATCGATACCGCTCGTTCATTAGTGCTCTGTTGTAACAACAGTTGTTATGGTCGCTGGAGCCACCTGTGGCCGAGTCTGATTGACCATCGTTGGCATTTTCACCTGAGGCTGACAGCGAACGTTTATTTAGTTTCCTGGGAAGTGACGAAAGGACAGTATTGTAAGAGGGGCATAACGTTAAGTGGTGGCGTAGACCCCCTCCCCTGTTAAGCGACAGCTTCTCAACCCGGTTGTAAATGGCTTCCTTGACACTTGGTGATCCTCAAACAAGTGTCCTTTATCCTTCAGATGTAAGTAAACTGCAGAGTCTTGACCTGAGGAGTTGGCCCTTCAATGTTGAGCCATGCGTTTGTGTAGTGGTTGTTTAGTTTTCCTAATCTACAGGTCTGTGCATTCCTCACTGCACTGGACCGCATACACTAGATTGCTTGTGTTTGGGTGTGCGGTCTTTGGGGCGGACTGGTAAATGTCTTAGCGTGTTCTTGGGTTTGAAAAACACAGGAATGTGGTGTTTGTTGAAAATCCTCCTGAGTTTCTCTGATACTTCAGACACGTATGGAATCACAATGTTGTTGCATTTGATCTTCTTCTCCTCATCCCCTGTAGTGTATCTTGTGGCTGTTTTCACAAAGGTCCATTTAGGTTATCCACAGACTGTAAGTGCCCCCTTCAGGTCGTTCAGTGCCATCTCTCTGGCCTGGACACATGTTGGTATGTTGTCCCTAGCTTATGCTCCAGTGGGTGGTGGGAATCGAAAAGTAGGCATTGGTCTGTGTGTGTGGGTTTTCTGTATACTCCACTGTGCAGGATCCTGTCATTTTCAATGTGTGCACAGTCCAAGAAGACCAAACCGTTGTTGTTGACATCTTCTTGTGTGAACTTGATGTTACTGCCCACGGAGTTTATGTGTTCTGTGAAGGCTTGCACTTCATGGGTTTTCATTTTGACCCATGTGTCATCAACATACCTGTACCAGTGGCTTGGTGCTGTTCCTCTGAAGGAGTTCAGGGCTTTGCTCTCCCCTGACCTCCTCATCAAGTTTGTTTATTTATGTCATTATAAATCATCATTATAAATCATTTATGTTATGCTGTGTCCAGTATTGGTCAGGTTATAAACCTATAGCTATTTATATTTCCAAGGATGTGTTGCTGAAGCTAACTCTGCTCAATATGTTATATTTCACCTTAGCTGGAGTGACCGGCGTTCTGCCCACAGAGATCTTCAATCAGACAGCTCGACCGGCAGCGTACATGATCGCCGGTTCCATGATGTGGCTCAACCTTTTCATCACTGGAATGATCTTCCCTTTTCTGGTGGTCAGTCTGTCATTAAATCCATCCAGCTGTCAGCGTCTGGGTCCATATATCCACCCGTCCATCCATTTAACAAACATGCAGTGACATTAAACCAGTATACAAACATATATAGGGGCTCTAAAAGTATACCCACACATGTGTACACACACGTACAATATTTTTAATAATACAAAACTAAGGCACTGTTTTAAACACGAGTTTTATGGCTGGGATTCTGGTTAGGGACAGCTGATGCTGGGATTCTGGTTAGGGACAGCTGATGCATATTGTTTCCTGCCTCCATCTCTACTACATCTAATAACATGAAAAAATGCTTTTATGGTAAATAAAATTTTTGTAGTTTTAAATATAAACATCACATCTTTTCAATGAATTAGGAGACTACCAAGCCAACAGGAAGCATTAAAAACTTCTTAGATTTTTTTCTGGCTGCTAAAGGCACCCTATAGCGCCTCCCAGAGTTCAGAGTCTCAAACTGAGGAAATGAGAAATGAGGACAGTCTTTCAGCATACTCAGATTCAGATTGCTTTATCTCTAACGATCATACCAAGATATGGAATTTGGAGTTGGCTCAGATTGAGGCAGTAAATTAGACATTGAATTCAACCATGTCTTAACACCAGTCTGACACCTTTCCTTGGCCTTTCTTTTACAGAGCGAGTTGAGTGAGTACTGCTTTGTGCCTTTCGGAGCCATCTGCCTGTTGTCTGCGCTATATGTCGGCCTTGTTCTGCCTGAGACCAAGGGGAAGTCCCTGTCGGCCATCACAAGTGAATTTCACAAGCTCAACTTCAAAGGCCAGGACGAAAAATCTGCATCGCAAACTCAAGCTCAGTATAAACTGGGTGAAGTGTGTCTTTCCACGTCCTTGTAGACAGACATTTGCTCCTGAAACACACCACATCCACCAGACGCCTCACTTTGACTTGATCTGCTTGAGCTGGAAGAAGTCATGCACAGTCTGACAGGGATGGAGGAATGTTCACTCTCTTTATCCCCAAAAGCAACTTAGATCTACTATAACTCCTTTATCTGGAGTGTGTTTTATATGAAGAGAATTTATATTAACTATAGAATTATCTTTGACATCTTCACATTTATACTGTACACTTCTGTTTTGCTACTCTGTGTCACTGATTGATATGAGACAAAAGTAATTAAAGCTACTGTATATTGAGCTGACTTTGGCCGAAAAGAAGTCCTCTGCTATATAGGAAGTCATGTGTTTTATGTTATCGGATGCAGCAACAGCGGTTGCTGTGTGGCAGATCGTGCACCATATCAAAGAGAATGTATTTAGACAGAAACAAAGATGTGAATATAAACTGTATGCATCATTCATAAAAAACTAGGGTGTCATGATGTTGAGCATTCATGCTTTTAGTATTGACTGAAATCTGTTGTTTTTACATGAATGGAATATGTGCCATTGTCTATGTTTTAATATTTCTTTTCATCCCTCTTGTTTAAACTCTGAGCTAATAAAAGTATCTTATATCACTGTAGTTTTTCATATTAAATTTTTTAATCATCAAAAGGTGCGTTCCAAATATACTACAGTTATAAAGTCACATAAAATGTGTCAAGAGCTGTGTAAGTTATTTATTTACCCGGTGTTGGTTGGTTTTGACCCCCCTTTCACCATCACACACATTCACTCTCACTACAACCACAATTATAATTAATGTGAGAGAATTTACTTGAGACAAACAGCGAAGGCGTTTTTATTTATGTCCTTGAGGAGGAGGTAGGCAGACCTCTTGGTTCAGAAGTTCAGACTTACATTTAGCTGACATGTCAGAGGTCGCTCGCCTCTGGAGCAATTTAGGGGTTAAATGTCTTATTCAGGGACACATTGGAACTCAGGTCTCTCACACCAAAGGCGGGCATCTTATCCATTGCGCCATCACCACCCCTTGTTGGTCAGTCAGACTTGTTGGTTTTGTAGTTTTTTTTTGTATTTGCTATATATGACACTGTCTTATGTAAACCCTTAAGCCTTTAATCTATGTGCCAGACCCACTGGGCTACTGGAAATGTGAAACAATTTTGTGTGCTGGATTGTAAAGTGTTACCAATATGTCTTATACAGTTATGGCTGACTTGCCATAGACAGGCTACCAAACCACACTATTAAACCTCCAGTATGATCACTTTAATGTCATTGTAAGCTGTGTGTGTGTATGTAAATGTGTGCGAAAGCCTTGCAGTGGCTGTGGCAGAAGGACGACTTAAAGCTGGAGCTGGACGACATGCAGAAAGAGAGAGAGCGCACGCAGCATGGAAAGAAGGGAAAGACTGGAGGATGTACTGAAATCTTGCTCTGTGAGATGGCAGTTGCTGACTCTGGTCATCCCCTGTGCTGGTGTGCAGTTCTGTGGCATCAACGCTGTTAGTTTATTTCATCTTTTTCCTTTATAACACAATTATACACAATATTAGCATGTCAGTGCTGTTTCACACATTTTCTCCATTTTCAATTGAGCATTTATGCAATATTTTTGTCCCAGAGACCAAAGAAAAGACAAATATGTAGATGAATGAGGACTTAAACAAACTGAATTACAAGAGGCCGCTGACATTGAAAGTAGTTAGTTGATCACTTCTGACATTTTGGGCATAAACTGCGTATGAATTCCTCAGATGAACACTATGAATGATCTGAAACTTATTTATGAATTAACCAAGTCATTCAAGACAAAAATAAATGTATTTATTTCCTTGTAGTACAACCATCTTAACAGATTAGAAATGTTGAATCAAGACCATATATTGACAATAAGAACGTGAAGTCTGTAAATATATTAACAAAAAAAATAAAACATTTGTAATTGCATCTGAATCGCAGACTGTATGAACTGAATACAGTCTCTCACATTATAGTTAATGTTCGGTCATCTGACTCCAGCCACACCTGACCCATGCCCCACTAACTGTGAAAAGAGAAAGAGAAAAGTCAGGAGCTTTTTCAATTGCAATTTATTTGATGCTCATCTCTGTACCAACAAGAGAGAGGAGACCCAATAACAGAGTACAAAAACAAATATCTATAGAAAAGTATGCTTATATTGAAATATGTCCAAAGACGTTATAACAAAACATGTAGCTTACATGTTGTAAGAGCAATCTTGTTGAGTACGATGATAAAATACCAAGTTAACATATTGTACATTTTTCTGTGTGTGTTTTTATACAAAAGTGTCAATGCAAGTCACTCTGTACAATTCTTAACCTTTAGAAAACAAGACCATTTTTTTAATCTACTGCTGTGCACAATCAGTATTTGGAAGGCACTTTGCAACAGACCAAAAGTAGAAAGCAAAACATATTAGGCCCAAATAATCCTCAAAAACATATTTTACACGAGTACCGACGTCAGTGAAAACAAATCATACATCCCACTGGAGAAAAAAAACACTCAAACAAAAAGGATCGCAATTTCCTTACAGCGTCTTCCACTTGTTTTCCAAATCACTGATAACAGAACAACTCTTCTCACCTTTTCAGGAGTAAATACTAGTGCAGAGTGCATCAAAAAAGGACCAAAAAATAAATATAAAACTTGGTCAAAGACATCAGTCGTGCAGCTGGCAGTGTGAGCGCTACCAGAGCAGAGTGACAGTACGGTGAACAGTGAAACTTATACTGCCACCAACCAGTGATCGACATTCAGTCCACCAGCTCAGCTCGCATGCCAGAACATGCAGTTTACACTTTCAATCAAATGTCCATAACTTAACATCCCCTCCACATGACAGATGAGAAAGAAAATCTATATATGTACAGGACCACCACTGACAAACACTGATCATATTGGTTGGTTCATATATATTTTTATATATTTATATTTATAGAATGTGTATATGAATGGTATATACACTTGTTACAATCACAACATAACCATAAATAATATAGGAATGTACTGAATTTAATAGACAGTTAAGCACAAATAATAATTAAACAGAAAGCAGGAAACAGATCAAACACAGAAACAGACACACAAACGCAAATACACTGCTTTTTTCGTTGGTTTTTTTTTGTTTGTTTTTTTTGTTTTTAACAGAGCCATTACACCCCCCCCCCCCCCCCCCACACACACACACACACACTCCTACTAAGCTCCTTCACTGTTAGATGAGTTTGACTTGCATCACGATAGAGGTTTTACAACACAAGAAAAAACATGAACTACAAGACATATGTCAATCAACTGATGTACAAGTTGTATGAGAAGTCAATAAGATTTTATTTTAGGTGCTCATTATTTTAACGTAGATCCCTTCTCGCAAATGCCAGCAGTGTTTCGCAGCAATTTTTCCTGTAACTCCTGACTAAGTGACTGCTTATTCTCTCAGCATAAACAAACCCAAAAGAGTCTACATTTGGATTTTTGATTGACTAAATTTTACGTACAGGGAATTGATCTTCACGCACAGTTTCCACGAATCAATAACATCCCGTATGTTGTTGTTTTTTTAGGATATAAAACCAATTCTGCATCGTAGAAACGTTGAAAAAGAGATTTCTAATCAAACAAAATAAAGCAGAGAGGTGAATGTGTGACGCTATCGGTGTTTTGATTTGAGGAACCATTTAGTTCTCATCACAGGAATGTCTCGGATTCTACATTTTGGATTAAACACATCTTCACTGTAAGACCATCCCAGATGGATAGCGTGTGCCTAAACCTAGAAACCATAGTGCAAACACAGGACGTGATATCTGCTAATAGCACAAGTAAATCTGACAGCAAGTGGGTGGTGACGATACAAGAAGGGCAAATGATGAGGAGGAAGAAACACTCGAGTATTAAAGTGAGCTTAATTACTTGATTCTGTGAAAGTTGCATTACGTTTGGTCGGTCCGGAGGCTGGTGGATCAGGGTGCGACTTATCACTCTAACCCCCTAAGCTGTTGCACAACACACACACACACACACACATCTCCGTTTAACATGATTTAGAGTGAAAAATTCTCAAAATGAGCAAATCACACGATTTTCATTTGAAAATTTAAACAAAACAGAGGGCATGAATAAGTTAATAAAATATAATTTACATTTCTCAAAATATATACTGAAAATATACCTGACCTTGGTCCCTGTTTCATGTACACAACTGATTTAATTGCTAATAAACAAGACTAGGAAACCTTGTCATTATAAGGGGGATGTATAAAAACCATTCCTACCAAGCTCAAGGCATGTTTCAAGACAAATTTTACAGGTTTTTATAAAAAGATTCATCCTGGAAAAATTCATTAAAAAAAAATATAAAGGTACTCCTGTACACAGTCTAGATCATAATAGTAATGGCTTTCCGCTCCTTACTTCTGTGACTGTTTTTATATATGAATAATTCATTGTACAAATCATCAAATCAAAAGATGATGAATGGGCTTTTCACATCCAAAATGAGCATGTCAGCAGACTGGCTTCATTTACAGCACATCCCTCCAGCCAGCTGTCACATCAGTGTACCGAACTCTCCTCTTGGGTTCAGATTCACAACAGCTCAGGTTAAAGTTGAATGATAACACTCCTCAAAGGCTTTGTTCAAGTAATAAAAAATAAATAAAACAGGCAGTTCTACTAACAGGACTACAAGCATTTGTAAAGACCTGTATTTGAAAAATACAAATCAGAAACTGTTGTGCTATTGCAGCTTTAAATACAGTTTTTTTTCAACTAACATTCAGCAGGCATTTCTAATTTTAATGAAAGGAAGAAGTGGCCGGCTTATTCTTTAAATCTAGTGAAGTCAGAACAATTAACTCTGCTATAATACACACTGGTGTTATTTTCTTCTGTGAGGTAGTCATAATTTATGTTTTAGCTGAAATATATTATATTTTTATAGTGAGCTTTGTGTGGATGCTGTAACAATTTAAAGTTTCATCGCCAAGTTTTAAAAGTGCCTCTTCCCAGTAATCCTGTCAATAGTAATTCATTAAGGTCCTTGACAGCTATCAGTGCTGCTCAGTGGCCAGTAAACTGACACTTCCTGCATGAAGCCAAAGAAAATTGTTCGTAATAAATCTGTCGTGACATATGCCGTGGGCCTGTTAGGAATGTTTCTGGGAATACTTAACAGATTTAAAGAAAACCTGCCATCAAAACTGAGGCCAAATCCCTGTTCTTAAGAAAAACAAAATCCTTCTTGAAAGACGCAGAGAACAACATAAATACAGAATTCACAAACAGACATCAGCAACAGCAAGTCATTACTTGCTTTAAGGTTGCAGTAAATAATTCATCCCGTGTCAAGAAACATTTGTGCAGCTAAGGAAGCAATAGCACAAGCCAAAAAACAAATGAAAGCATACCAAACGTAACTTCAACGGATCCACATCAGATAAAGGAAAACCTTCATGTCACTTCTTTATAAAGAGAATTTTAACACCGTACACGCACTTTTCATACTCTGAAAAAAGTAGAAAAGGTAGGAATCGTATGGCAGTCTGTGACAAAAATATCAGATACACATTAAGCAATGTAACAAACAGAAAAAGTAGTCTTGAGGCAAAGTTATTCCCAAATACAGAGCATCTTCTGTGGGCAACCCGGCTTTGTCCTAAGAATGAGAGGCTTTGCAAGAACTTTAGCAAATATGTCACTTGCCTCCAAAGTCGATTCCACTTTGACCTGCCTCAGCATCCACCAGTGAAGAGGCAAACGCAGACTGAACTATCTGAAAGCCAAATGACTCTAGCAGAGACATGTTTTGTTGAGGGGAGAAGGGAGACGTGAGGGAGGGGGCCAGCTCATTTAAGCCCGACCCTGAGACCCCCTGGGCCTTCTGGGCTTTGTGAACTCTGTGCTGGTGTTTGTTGAGGTAGGACTTGGTGCGGAAGGCCTGACCGCAGATGTCGCAGTTAAATTTCTTCTCAGGGTCCGTCTTGGCTTTAGATCCCTCCGGAGATGCCAAGGCCCCCCCCGCAGAGGCTCCATTGCAGGCTAAAGAGGGCATCTCGAGCTCCGGCCCATCAGGTTTGTGTGGAGATTTAAGCTCGTCACCGTTGGACAAATCCCCGAATGAAGGGTCGGATTCTTCTGATTCCAGATGAGGACATTTCTCTGCGTTTTCCTGCCCGTCTGTGGTAAAACCAGCGTGGATAGGAGGGCGGAGAGTGAGACAGAGAGAGAGAAACAAGGAGGGAAATGGGACGAAAGGGAGGCGTGAATTAGGACAAATGGATAATAAAATAGGTTTTGTTAAATACTGTACAACTTTAATCCAGTAGCTGGTTGGCACCTGCAAAAAACTTTAGTGAGAAGGCACCAAGCACAAGTAGAACAAATTGTGACAATTAATTTTACAGATCAATCATTATATATTTTAAAAAACAAACAGTTCCTTCAAAATGTCATTTAACTATACAATCATCTATTTCAGTCCATTTGCCCGGTGTCCACTGATTCTGCTGTGCTCACCCAATCAGTGGGCAGTGCTAGCACCACGCCCCCACCCACTCTCCTGCTGGACTGTACTGACCTGCGACAGGCCCATGGACGGGGAAGCCAGGCAACCCGCCAGAGCGACACTCCCAGAAATATGGAGCCCCACCTGCCTTCCCCATGAGCAGCTCAGCCTGCAGGCCCAAGGCTGGAGGGCCCGGCTGAGGAAGAACTGGGTGTCCAGAGAGACCATGAAAGCGACCCTCTGCCTCAGACGAGGTGAGAAGCAGCTGACGACTGGCACACAGGTCTACACAACACCCGGCCAGGGAGACAGGAAGGAGGGGAGAGGAGGGGGCAGACATAACAGGCCGGCGGAAACCATACGGACAGAATTACCTTCATTTCATAACTAGTATTTGAAATGCTGTCTGTAAACAAAGTAAGCTAGACAGGTTTACTAGTTTGGATTAGTCTATGGCCGTGCTCTGACTGCAGGACAAAGTGACCCAAATCTGATTTTTTTTTCCTCAGTGTGACTCAGTGTGAACAGCACCAGTCATGGGAAATCTGATCTTTTCCAGTTAGGATTAGGGCCAGTTTCATGTGTGGTCCAAATCAGATACAGGTCAGACGTCTTTAAAAGCGGCGTCGGTCTGGACCAGAGCTTAACGATTTTGCAAAAATATCTAACTGAGATTGTTTTGAATGATATTGTAATTGCGATATTTGCAATATTGGAGGTAAAAGCTCATAATTATTCTCATTTTCACTGAAAACATATTTAATTGATTATGGTGTGATTATTTGCAGTGATCTTTACCAAACAAAGATGTTTTTTTTTTAAAGACTGTAGAATGATGGTCATTATTGCGATAAGATTTCAATTAACTGTTGAACCCTAGTCTGGACAGTCAGGTTGGGATTCACGCGACCCTGAAATGTGGCTCTCTTTCTCCTCGTCCTCATTTGCTAACTAATTCCTTTTCTTCCATCTGAAATCAACTTGTAAAATAAACTGTACTTTTTTTTGCATTAATGGTGGTGTTACCGGTGGCGTTACGCCGGCTGTACTTTCACAATACAACTTTATTTGAAGAAACGCATAACATAAACAAAGATTATCCTAAACATTTGTTATGTTGACACCATACCAAGATACCATGACATAAAGCAGTTTAAAAAGAAACTGTTATTGTTAGAAATCGTACTTCATAAATATATTAATGTTTTGATAAATAATAGTCAAAAGTATAAAACTACAGAAAACATTTTTAAAATATCTGATTTGTTTTAAATTATAGAATACTACTACTAATGAACATTAAATTAAATAGTGTATATATTGTGGGGGCCAGTAAAATAGAAACAATAAAAAAATACCAATATAGTACTACTACTAAAAATAATAATACCACATATAATTTCTTATGGCACTGCTATCATAATGATTAACAGGTCTCTCCTACATAGGCAAATATCATGCAGTAGTTATTACCTTACATATAATCTGCCACAATGACTACTTTCTACTTTATCACCAGCACTCTTAATTCACTATTAATTCTATCCAACAGCTACAAGAAACCATTTCCTAACCACCACCTGGCTCTAAAAAAATGCCTCTTTGATACAGAGACACAGAGGAAACACTGCTCTTGAATTGATCTAATACTACATGACTGTCTACAACAAGTACCTGCAACTTTGAGATTTCACACTAACATCTCATATTTGAAAGGTGCACTAACTTTCTGTTAGATAACTTTGTTAGGCAGAAAGCCGTGCTTGATAATTGTTCAGCTCACGTTTAAGTCCCGTCTGGTTTAATCATTTCTGACATGCCAACTGTAACTAGAGACAAGCAGCTCGCAGATATATTTAGAATAAGTTAAACACTATAGTTGAACCGCTCATTAATTGTGGCGCTCCTCCACTGATAAACATGTGTGTGTGGCTAATTTAGCAACAGGCAGCGTTAGCTGCTTATTTAGAAGTAATACATTAGAGAGAAATGAGAAAAACACTGTTTGAAAAATAAATCTACAATCACGTCTGTGTCAGCACCGTAGTCTCCAACACCTACTGTACAACTACTGTAACATTAATCACACTGCTGTGAGCCTGGAGAGGGCAGAGAAAAATAGGAGGGTTAGCAAGTCTGGTCTCCGAAGAGGAAAAGTTATGAGGGCTATTTTTATTTTTATTTAAGTCATGTAACTGACGTGACAATAAACCAACTCACCGGGAACACAGAGTGTGACAGCTACCAGGAGGTTGACTTTGATCAGCTGATGTTTTGTTCTGTGGTGCTGCAGTGTTGTTAAAAGAGGAGCTGCAGCGCACCCTCTGGTGGTCAAACTATGCCACACTTACAACAAGAGGGAAGGATCCGACTCTGTTTCTCTTTTTCTGTTATAAACGCCATGCAGATATATCTGCAAGTAGCCTATATCGGCCGATAATATCTGCAAAACGATAAATCGGTCGGGTTCTACCATATAATAACAGCACGTTATTATTACCAAAAGATTGTATTTAACTTTTCTCGTGGCTAGACTAGTAGTCCCAAGTGCAGAACTAAGAGAGGGAGGAGACTGAAGACGAATATTTATTGCAGGTTTGAAGTGATCGGAAATTGAGCCGGGGAAGAGCGAGGCAGACTGGAAGAATAGATGCTGCATAACCAGGTTGGTGGCTGCAGTGCAGAGCAGGAGGGAACCCTAGCTGAGAGTCCAGAGGGTGAGAGGCTGAGCTGAGCAGGTCCAGAATAGATCCCTGGAATATATTAACTGGGCAGGGGTCCAGGGAGAGCAGCGAGGATAAGCAACATTTCCGGTAGCGGAAAGTAACAAAACTTTTTTATACCTTCCTAAATGTTCTTTAAACCCATAACTGCCACTGTTATCACTCAGTTTAAAGTGCTCCCACAGAGCTGTGGGCTTCGTTGTTTTCCCTTTGATGAGAACTGGAGAGTTAAGTTCACTACTGTGGGCGGGGGTCAAGTGTGTGAAAAAAATAAATCAATATTCGAATCCCAAAATTTAAAATTGAATGTGTACCCAATGATCAAAAATTAGAATATTCGGGTCCTGCCCTAGTGGTCTCCATGTTTACTTCTGTGCGACAGCGTGCTACATGCGACGTATTATTCTTTTGCCCATGCGGGTTGCTTTCAAGCCGTGGCCAGTTTACACTGGAGTCTGATATATTAAATTATCTGAAAAAAAGTCAGATCTGGCCAATAAATCAGAATTAAGCATTAAGGCCTGCAGTGTGAGCGTAGCTTCTGTTGGGTAAATCCGATCACCAAAGCAGTCAGTAATTAATGAATGATCTTTTTACTCTCTTTCCACTCTAGCAAATACCAATTAGGAACTAAGTGACTTGTGATGTAAATCCTTTTTGGAATAATTGACAAACAAGCTACTTTTATTAGAAAAAAATGACATAACTTGTCTGCCATTTGAGTACCGACCTTTTCTAACAGTGGACACTTTGAGAGGTGTAAATAAAAACATTAAAAATGACCACATTGAATATTAGGTGTAACACTGCCAGGCCCAGGACCCTGCTGGCTCACTGACACACCTAAATGAGCAAAGAGCCATCATTAATGTTAATAGTTCCACTTCCCTGTGAGAAAGGTCCATACTGTGTATAACAAAGTATAATGTTCACACACACAATGAAGACTGTGAAAACTGCAGTAAATATAGTGACAGTACACACTCCTGGCCGTGGCAATTTGCGAGGGCTAATCATACTTTCTCTTTTTTTCTGCTCATGTATGTGAAGACCTTCATCACTCAGAATTAAATTATTAAAACCAAACGACTGCCAATTGCTGCGAGTTCTCAGCTCATTTAATGTAAGTAGTGTTTACTCAAATGTTATTACTCAAATATTCACAATGTCTTTCTGTTTCAGTAATTAGCTTTACGGGGACTTGTGGTTCAGAGCTCTGCACGCCTTTGGTAACTGCTTGGATGATCTCTACCTGCCGTATGACTGTCAGTCTTGCACAAACTGTTGTCCACAGTGCTGAAGGAAAACACATTTATTCTACGCTAACACAAGGTCTGCTCATTTACTGACACTTAAAGCAGAAGTGAATCGGTGGGAGGGAAAAAACATTACATTTACGCACACTAATCCTCTCACAACCTTAGCAAAGTTTCTCTTAAACTGATTCATCTTGGAAATCTATAAAGAAACTTCCATTACAGCATTACTTGAGCGAGCGAATAAACACAACAATAGTGCCCAAAGAAAGGACACACATGACTAATAATTTGACAATATCACTGCGTATACCTGTGAGTTACTGTGTGGTGTGACGTGCTGTTCTTGTCACAAACTTGCTGGCAAAACAATATGACAACCAAAACTGTATTTCAGATAACATCCTGGATTTACCTCAAAAGGAAACGGCTAACCCACTAACACTTAACTCCTTGCCAACCAGTTAGCTTTTCTCCAGCCAGTCCAGAAATTACACATTTGTTATCGTGCTAATGAATTTTTAATTTGCATTATTGAGTTGAGTTTTACAGACTTTTGAACAACAAAATAACTCTAGCTCAAAAAAGGCAAATATCTTTCTGTATGTGCTAATAGCGCGATCAGGGTATGATCAGTTTTAATGATTGATCAGGCAGCAAATGGTTTCAAAAGCAGTTATCATTACAATCATTTTAATAGCCAACCTTTGCTTGGTAATTAGCCAGACCGCATATTATTCAAATGCTCTGCGCTCATATGCTCAAATGTCTCTTATTATTGTGCAGAAAGTCATTTACAAGTACAATCAACAGACGTAAACTTTGTCTTCCATAATATTTTTTCTCCTTAATTTATGGTTGTGGCTCACAGTTCACTGTGCACTGTCTCTATGCTACTGGTTCTCCCATAAAAATGCCCAAATTACAAGAGTTTCAATGAATCCAGGGCAAATGGAGTACACATTAGGACAATCATGCAACACTGTGCATTGTAGAACAACCGCTGATGGACCAGCCAAGCAGAAACAGACACGGTTAACCATACGATGCCATGGCCATGCTGGACAGAGACACATTTAAAAAAAAGAAAGTAAAAAAAAAAAAAGAGGTAAAGCAACAGTCCAAACTCTTACATGGTCATGAGTAAGAACAGTGAGAACTATGAAATCTAGAAAACTTCAATGCGCTCAATTACTATATGTGACGGTGGGAACTTTCAGCATTTATAAAAAGTCTTCACTCTAAGCAGCAATGTAGTGTTTTAGTAGCATAGGTGCACAGTCATCAGGCGTCATTACTTGTCAAACTACAGTCAATGCCATGATTGGCATTGACTGAACTGTAGTTCAGTTCTGTAGAATGTATGCGAGTAAATGAGTTGTCTGCCTGTTGACTTGCATGTATTCTATAGTAACAGATGTGCTGCTCACAGGTAACACAAAAAGAGTTTCTTCCAGTCATTTCTGCAATACTGACTTTTGACATGAGTCAGTGAAACTTATGAGAACGCACCGGTATTTCCAACACTACTGACTAGCTGCCTAATCATAGAGCAGTTAATCTGTAGTTCATAATAAAAAAATGAGGTGTGCAATACTTCCAGCTGTTTCCCCTTTACCTAATCACCACAGTAAGGTCGACACTGCCACGTCTGAATGAAAGACACCGACAGTTAGCCAGCAGAAAGACAACCAGCACATCAAACTGCACAACAGTAAATGTTTGCGCGAAAAGCTTGGTAGCACAGGTTGATGTATGCTCGTGTTTTAAATACACACACACACACACACACAAAGATGCAGCAGCATGTTTCTCTAGAAAGCAGCAGAGCAAATGAAAGCCAGAAACATGAATGTTTTGGGATGGGGCGGGCGGCTGCTTGCCTTCCACTGAGCACTGGCGTCCCATGTGGTAAGGGTTGCCGTTGTGCATCTGCAGTTCCCCCCTTGGCTCGGGGAAAGTGTGAATTGTGGCAGAGTGGGGCAGCGGAGAGCCATGGTGCGTCTTTATATGCACCTTAAGGTAGGACGCAGTGGAGAAACCTGGGACCAAAGAACAAAAAACAAGGCAGTTGTTTGACACACTCAAGGCCTTGACCATGAGCAGGGGATCTTGTTACACAGTGACAGGCTATTTGATGTCGATGATCCGACAGACACCACGATCGGTTCAACCAGAATAACTCTGGAACACTGATAATTGGGGGGGAAGTTAAATTATCTCTTTGAATTGCATCTTTCAACAGTGAAGCAAATCATTGTATTATAGGCAACAAGGCAAAAATCTATATCCCCTCTCGAACACACAGAGTGATGCACATTGTAAAGAGATGTTCTTTAAAGGAATTAATCACAGCACTTGTATCCTCGATTCACTCTGATTGTCAGCTGACGCATATGCAGCCACCCAAGGTGGCTATACTGCCACAAGGAGAATGATTAAAGATTCCTATAAATAAACGCCTCTACTTATGTATTTTGTTTGATCCAATTTGTTTATTGCTGGTTTGAAGCCTCTTTAAAAAATTATTTTACCCTTTAGTCCACTTTATCCATTATTTCCATTGTAGCTTTGTAGAATTCCTGTTTCTTATCTTGTTTGTACACATAACATTGCTCTTATTGTCTTGTGTGCAAAGCGCACTCAGGGAAAACAGGATACGCACCTTTCATTGAACCTCCCCGTACAGATGAAGGTTGAATTAATGAAAAAAACAAGATACATACAGTGCACCCAAGTGCCAGGAGGAAAGCTGGGGTGAGAGGCGATTTGGGCGTAGTAGTGGCCACAGGTATTACGGGATCATAAACAATCATTACAAAAGGACTGGCTGTAAAATGATTAATATGCTACAAACACCCTGAATTACTCTTTGTATTATAATAACTTAATCTATTAAGTTAAGTAAAAATTTCAACGTCTTGAAGTGCTGCACCAGTAAGCAAGTCAGCCAGAAGAGTCTCTAAGGTTTGGCCAGGGAAGGACTTCAGTGTGAATGCTGAAAAATGTTCTCAGCATGTAGCACCAGGACTTTATGTACAAGTAAAGGCCAACTTTTAGACATATTTCTCACATGCAGTATGTGCATTTCATCTTGTCTACAGACCAAACAAGTCCTGGAAATATTTTGTACAGCTCAGTGCAACCTGTCCCCGAAAGAAACAGTGCATCGTTAAAAATGTAGCTTTACACTTAAAAGGAAGAGGGGGGTTGAGTTTACAAAAAATGCGTTTGAGCACACTAGACACTCAAATGGGTCAACACGCCCTGAATAAGGCTTTGGGGATGTCGGCGGTGCTTCCCTCCTGTGTCAGAGGAAATAATAAATGTTCAGAGCAATGTCATGTTTGGACCGAGATTATCCCCCATGAAAAAAAAAAAATTAAATAAATAAAAATAAAAATGATAACCCCCTCATTCATTTTTAAGAGGTCATATTATGCTCATTTTCTTATTTTGGGGTTGTAACAAAACAGGTTTAAATGGTTTCATTTTCAACAAACAAGATATTTTTTGTCATACTGCTCATTGCTGCAGCGCCTCTTTTCACCCTGTGTGTTTAACACTTTGTTTTAGCAATGCAGTGATATATCTTGCCTCTACAAGATCTTTGTTGGGAGTTGCACATGCGCAGTTCCTAGTTAAGGACTACTAGCTTCAATCAGAAGCAGAGTAGGGCGGGTCCTGAGGTAAACATGGCTCCGGTTCAGCTGTATATATTCCTCTTACCAGCCACTTGGTGAGCATTATGACTCGCATTTTGCTGTGTGTCACAGGGATCAAAGGGAAGCAGCTGGACTACAAACGAGCTGTTTTCAGGCAGTTCAGAGCAGAGTTTTCTGTGGGAGATGGGAACTCCCTTTGGGGTGGACTTTGGGCTTTTTCACTTTGCAAACCTATTATATGCACAAAAAAGATATATAACTCAATAAAGGAGACGGAAAAAGCCAATAAGCATAATATGACCTCTTAAATAAGACCACTGCAGTAAAGGTGCCAGCACAGAGGGGCCCAGCAAAAACAGTGGAACCAGATTTAACTTTTGCCGCAACGAAACGTGATGTCACTTTTGGGTGTGATTTTATATTTCTCTCTTTCTGAACACTTGTGAGGTAAACAGCAGAATTTGAGACATGCTACGACTTATTTGATCTGCTATGTTTGACTGGCTCACACACACTGCACTGCCAGATCACGGTTCAACGTTTAGCTCACAAGTCAGCTCAGACAATGGAGCTACATAGTTCTGGTTTTGCAGTCACAGCACAGTCTACCATCATGAAAGAGTCCAGAAGTGTTCCGCACTGGGACATAATTTTACATTACAAATAAACATAGTAATATACAAAAGAAAAAATTTATTTCAGCAGCATGACCATAACTCCAGACGAGGTGTTGTTTTTCTTAAAATACACAGCAGATCCAGCTACCAAATACCAAAACCTGATTAGGGCAAGTTTTAATCCTCTAAACGTCCTTGACTTCACAGCCGACTGAATATTCGTCTGGGCATGGGACGGAGTGGTTTCAGAGGAGCTTGTAACAGTGTACTGCATGCTGAGGTATTTTAAACAATTACCTTTGTTGCAAATGCCACAGTAGTTATGCGTTCCTTCACTGTGTTTCTTGAGGTGGTCCGTCATGTAGGCGGCTCGCAGAAACTTGCCACAGACTTTGCAGGGGATTTTGTCCTCGTGGCATGCAAGGTGTGACCGGAGGCGATCTCTTGTAGCAAAAGAGGCATTACAAATCTGAAATACAGAAATCAAACGTTAACACCTTTCTCACATATGACGGTTTAAAACCACCACTAGATGTGGGAATATATTAACTCTGATACATAGATCCTAAATGTTACCTGGCACTTGTGGGGTCTCTCTGTTGTGTGAACCTGTTTGATATGTCCATTCAGGTGGTCTGGTCTGGAGAAAGAAAAGAAAAATTAACATTTTATTTTATCTTTCTCACTTACTTTATGAAGAGTAGCAACCAAAACATACTACCCATGTGGGCGTTGACCTTCCCGTGCAAATTAACACATGAAAAGATTATCTCTATTACGACCACATGCTTATTCATGTGTGACTTCACAGGGTGGAATTACATCCACTACATTGTCCTTATCGTAAATCCTAATCTAAACGTTACATTATATTTGTGTGGTGTCACTATGAACATCTGTAAAATATAATAATATATGATAAAAGGTTGAGGAATGTACTGAATTCATCATGTGACACATCTAGTAAAAAAGAAAAAGAATATAATACAGTAAAAGTATGTATTTTACCTTGGGGGAAGTAACTGTAAAATCATCAATACTCATCAGTATATCATCGGATTATTAAGGTGTACATAAGGTAATCTAATACATTACATATTATATATAGTCCTTTGTACTATTTGTTTTGCTCGTTGTTGCTTTTTATTGAATGTACACACACATACATATTTTTCTAATCTAATCTAATCTTAACCGAGCTTCGTTCAGCATTATTGTCCTTGTTTCTAGCTGCAAGTCAATTTCTATTTTTCCTGTAAATACTTTTCGGAACTGTTTGTTGAGGGCAAATTAAAACAAACTAGAATAAAATTTGTGGTATGTGTACAAATACTTGGTCAGAAACACTGATTCTGATTCTCAAGTATAAATGAGTATAATATGTTAAATATATAGATGTCCTTCCTCAGCTTGCAAAGGGGCAACAGTGTTATAATCAAGCACAGGTCAAAAATATCACACAATGAAGCGCAGCAATGTAGATTGATAGATTTTTTCGTTACGCAGTCATAGTGAATAGGCAAACAGAAAACAAGGGGAGGGGGTTGGTTGGTTGTGATTATGTGGCATGCAGTGTAACCTTTCAGCCGCCAAGTGCTGAAATAATTAACCCAGCAACATTCTCTGCAGTCACTTCTTTTCTTGAACAAAGCAAACCTGAGAGGACTCGACCAGTTAAAATCTTTTCACCATACACATGTCGATGGCTCTGTCACAAACTTCCACCCTCTGCCTCATCACACTTCTGGATATTTGGGGTTTTTTTGCAGTTAGCATGCAGCTACTTGTGACTTATTTTCATTTGGACATCTGCATGTATTTGAACCTCCACAGCAGCAGGTGGTGACAGTGAGTTTGCAACAGGGCCTGAGAGAACTGAGCCTGGGAATCTGGTTGAAGCCAAATTACACATGAAAAGTCCCCCAGTAACGGCTCTGCAGTTTTCTAACAACAGAAACCACAAGGTGTGTGTGTGTGTGTGTGTGTATGAGACCACTCACGAGTGTGTCAGGGTCTGCAGAAGGTGGCCCTCCTAAAATGACTGATAACAACCCGTCCATCCCAGTGTTTGAACTCACCCCAGTCTCTGGTTACTGAGACCAACTTACAAGAATGACTACTTATGTATCTTAACTAATTTCGTTGATTTTGAACTAGACAACTCTTGACTTCAGGCTGCTGGTTATAAAGCAGATGACTACATTATGTGTCTGTGTTCAGCTCTAAAGCGGATTAACAGCTTTCTGAGCTGAACAGCAGTTTTTGCTTTGTTGCAAAACTTTTTTTTTTGTGAGTACTCATTTAATACCTGCAGTTACTGTCCTTCAGGTAGCCCAATATATCCCATATGCAGATACAAAGAGTTGCACTTATAATCATAGAAATAAACCACATAGTGCAGGGTGTCCTGGATGATCGAGGCGCAGTCACATCATTGTTTCACTACAGCTCCAAAACACAGAACATGCCATCAGTGGGGATATAGGTGGACTCACCTTGAAAAACCTTTACCACAGCTTTGGCACACATAAGGTTTGCCGACTGACCCGTCGTGGGACCGCACATGGTAGGACATCCTGTCTTTGCGTTTGAACCGGAGCCCGCACACATGGCACGCGTACGGCTTCTCCCCAGAGTGGGAGAGCTTGTGTCGGTTCAGGTGGTAAACGTCGCGGAAAACTTTACCGCAAATGTCACAGCCGACGTGCCGCCTGGTCCTCTCCCGTTTGCGGCCGTTATCCAGCGTCAGCCCTCCGTGTAACTGCACGCCGTTCTCCACCAGCCCGGGCGGAGACATTAGAGAAATGCCGCCCGCAGCTGACAGGCTGTCACCGACGATGTTGACGGTGTGGGCTCCGTGTTGCGCTTCGTGGTTCTTCAGGCGGGAAGCCTCTGTAAACGCTTTACCACAAGTCCCGCAAGGAAACAGCCCATTGTCTTTCTGGGTGGCGTGGTTAAAGTGTACAGCCTCCACTACCCCGCCAGCTTTCTTTGGTCTGCCCCTGCTCCTTTTGGACCCCGGGGAGCCAGCGTCGTGATGAAACGCGTTCCCCGGTATTTCCGTAGATGGGGACACGGACTGTCCTTCGACGGGCTCCAACATTGGCACCGACGACTCGCCTCCGTCCTCCAGCAACACTGCGGCGGTGTCTTCCCCCCCACCCACATGCATCTGGGCATTGTTGGCAAAGCTCTGCCCGTTCACCAGCAGTCCCGTTCCGTTCACCAGATCCTGCTGTGGCACCGGGAAACCCAGCTCCGTGGCCCCCGTGGCCTGGAACAAGCTGGCTTCACCTCCCCGTGTGGTCGGGACCAGGATCTGTACGTTGGACTGCTTGATTACCTCCTGACATATCTCAATGACTGACCGCATCAGGAGAAACTTGGCAGCTGTCATCAACTCCGGGAAGCACTCCAGCCGCACCACGATCCTGGAGGTGTAGGCGAAGTCCAAAACGTCTTTAAAAACTTTCGGGCTGATGGTGTGCATCTCCAGCTCCTTGGCGTCGTCGTCCGTCTGGCGGCTGAACACCGACTCGAAATATTCGCTGCAGGCGGCCAACACAGCCTTGTGAGCGGGGAAGCTCTCCTCGCCGACGCGTAAGATCACATCGCAGAACCTGCCTCCATCTTTCCTCTGAATGTTGAGGTTGTGTAGCATCTCCGCACTGTGCTTGCTCACCTGGTAGGTGTACGAAGAAGTCCAAGACGGCTCCGCTACCTTCTCCATGCCGAATTCATCCAATAACAATTAGTTGTTAGCGACGACGGTCGGAGAAAAGACGGATTTCGTGTAACGATTTCGATCAGTTGATATCAGCTAGCTACAAAAATCCAAAGCCAGCCGCCCCTCCCCGTCGTTTTAGCATCTAACGTTAGCAGTAGCAGCAGGGAAAAAATGGCAGCCCCCCAGCTTCCTGTGAACTTTGACCCTGGTTTCTTCAGGGGTGGGGGTCGCTCGTGTTTTGTAAACAAGGTTTCTCTAGGGTTTCTTACCGAATGTGTGTTTATTTGAATGGCTCCCTCATTGTAATGGCCGTCACTTAGGAGTAACTAAAGCCCCGGCGCCGCAGGGGTCTTTCATGTCTTTATGCCAAAAATGTCAACACGCAGGTCTCTTCCTGCCTGGTCTGTTTGTTAAACCCCTCCCCCAACAGACCAAAAAGCCCTTCTCCTCTGCACGAGAGCGGTGTGGTGTAAACCCATTCACGAGACACATGTAAAGCACAAGCGCAGTATACTGTCATTTCAGGTAAGTTCTGGTTTTACTACAAGACAATTAAAGAAAAGCTACCCGTGAAATTACATGTGAACGAAATCAAACGTCACTCTAACCCAATATTATTGAAAACAGCAACCTGTGCTGATTACCAGCTTGGATAATCTGGATAAGAGTTTGGCATTTTTAACACAATTACACTTATTTTTTATAATTTTATATTAATGAACCTTCAGTCAGAACGTATTTAGTCCACTTAAACATTAGGGGGGGGGCAGAATATTAAACACCTGACAGTGTCAACAAATGCTGAACATTACAAGCTCCCCTACAATAGGATTTATTGCAACCCATTGCATTGGACAGGAGCCTGTTTGATAAGTGTTTTTATTTTTTGAGCAAATATTTTTTTGTTTAAATATAACTTATAAAGTAAGGATCCATTAAATGTGATTAAAGAATTGTGATAAAGATGTGCATTTTGAAGCTATAGTAGATAATATTTCTTAAAGACAGCTCTGCCATAGGTTTTTGGTGCTGTGCTGACACATTTTCACTTAAGTGTGGGGTTGAGGTGGAAATAAATTACACACAATCCAGTGCACCACCAATACACAGGGCGACCTCAATAATAGAGTTGAACAAACACCTTTGGCAGTGTCAATAACTAAACATAAGATTTTAAAAGGCAGAATTTATGGCAGAGCTGTTGCGTATGAGATTGTGCAGGTATGTGTAAGAGTGGCCACTGAGGGTATGGACGTATGTCTAGAGAGACATAGCATATAGATTAGTGCTGGGCAACCATTAATTTTTAATCTCGATTAATACCGCGATAAATTGCATTGTAATGCGCAAAATGGAATAAATTTAATAGTGCATTGCACACTTAATTTAAGTGTTCTGCTATATGTACAAAAGTGCCAAATGTGGTTCGCAAACACTTTCAACAAATAAGGTGCCTTTTACCAGCAGTATTCCCTTTATACTAGCAATAATATATTTCTTGAACAGGTATCAGCAGAAACATTGCTTTTATCAGGGAGCAACATAAACAGTATGTTCAATCAGTAGCAAGTTTCAGTGTTAGTGAGGTGAAGTGGTCGAGCACGAGGCGTAGCGACAAGCGGGTGCGTTCCGCTGAAACTGTCGCGGTGGTGCTCGCCTCACGTAGACGTCCGCCAGCTGCTGAAGTTGAATCGTCTTGAACTTTCTGTTCGCGACACGGAGCACAAGACTGATCCTCGCTGTTTGACTTTCCAGAATCTGTTACTGTTTATTAAATATGACAACGAAACTAGATGTGTGCCTATTAGGTAAAGTTATGTAGCTTATCATTTTAAACAGGCTACAACAGAGCGCGTGCCGTTTACTCGCGGAGCGCCGTCTCACGCTGCATCCAAGTAATTAGCCTATTCTGCCTCACCTTCCTCCCCTGCTTGTGTGGATAATTGCAGGATGGTCAACATCCCACCCCTTCTGTGACCCATGGACTGACTGTATGTGTATTCAGAGCCAGTGAGCAACGGACTTGAATTTTTTTTTTTAAACTTTGCATTAACGCGGTAAAAACTCGTTCACGTGCCCAGTCCTAATAGATATAGCAGTACATAAATAGGAAATACAAAAAAAAGCAAGTTGTGTTTTACTGAAGATTTTATTTATTAATTCTATTTGTGCTTCTTATAACTTAATAGCACATAAACTGAATCCCAAACACCCTCAAAAAATTGACAATGTGAGCAGTGCTGCCCCCCTAGTGACAGGATGGATGGGAGACGATACAGTTTAAAAAGGAAAAAAAAAAAAAAAGGTAGTGGGGGGTGGGGGACAAACAAAAAGGCACAACCAGCACTTGCTGCATCCCCTGGAGTCTCTTGACATGCTCCAGCCATCACATCTACAGAAAAAGGGCCACTAGCCGTTCCACAGTGGAAGGGTAGAGTATTCACTAGCAGTAGCCTCTTCTCAGTGGACTTCAGGGGGAAATTAAAGTTTGACAAGAGAAAGGAATGCAACCAGCTCTTGGTAACTTTGTCTCTCACAGTTTCCAGTTCAACTGCAGGATAGTTTCACCCTCCCCCATCCCAAGACAAAAAAAAAAAAAAAAAAAAAAAATAGAAGCTATATACAGGGAGAACAATATTCTTTCCCATGGTCTGTACAATTGGGCCTATACATTATTTACTGCGCAGAGCCTAATACAAATAAAAATAAAAAAAAAATTACTCAGCCAGCAAAACTAAACGCCATCACTCGTCTTCCCGTTTCCGCTGATAAGCCTCTTCAAAAGCAGTGACTTCAAGGTTGAAGACAAAGCATGGCATGGTTTTACTGTCCAGGTCTGTGCACCATCTTTGAAATTAAAGTTCACATTTTTATGGTAACAAGGAGGAGAGGGGCAAAAAAGAAAATAAATCTTGCTATCCAGCAGTGTTTACTTTCTTATGGCCGGAACTCCAATTCATCTACGCTTATGACCTTGGCCGGCATGGAGGGCAGTGGCTGTTCTAGCACATCTGAGCCAAACCACTTTGCCAGGCCTAGAGGGGGGCTGCCCCCATGTCGCTGGGAGCCATTTGTCCGGTGAGGGCCATGGCTCTGTGACTGAGGGCCTGGGACGCTTGGATGTACTGCAAGATGAGACAAATATAGTTTAATCCATGAAGTGAGAAAACAATTTTAAAATTCTTCTACATTTCTGCTGCTATTGAGCCCACATACATTGAATCAAATGTTCCTTACTTTCCCACCCATAGACTTTAATTTATATTTTCTGTAGCACAAAACAAATAATGCAAGATGTGACTGTTGCTATGTTTGAGGATAGTACAGTATTTTTCTGATTGGCTGTAGCTACTTTATACAGTGTGCAAACCTGAAAATGACAAACCCCCTCTCTATACAGTTCATATGTCAGATACTGTATATAGGAGCTCCATGTACGACAAGACAGACTCATTTGTCACCCAAGTTGTAAACTTTTAGATAATCCAAAAAGTTTGACAAACAATGTTGCCACTAGCAGAAGTCCATACTGAGTTGTTATACTTAACAGTACTTCCACTCACTTTGTCTCTGTTGCTGAAGTTGCTGCTGCATTACTGCTAACTGCATCGGAGTATTTGCTCTGGGAGGTAGAAGTGGATGCCCTGTTGCACTTAGAGGGTACAGCGGTTGTCCAAGCAGGGCAGGGGGCAAGCCTTGAAGTTGTGCAAGGTCGACGTGTGGTGGAAATATACCTGGTGTGCACAGTTAAAGACTTTGTCTGGGTCATGAGGTTTAACATCAGGACAACTTTACAAATAACTTTTAAGCTGATGATACAGAGCAACTTTTAGAGCAATCGTGCTGGGCAACGTTGCCGTCAATGGTAATAAGTAAAGATTACTACCGTAATCCCCTTCCTCCACCACCCGCCCCACCGCTATCCGTTCAAAACATAGTCGGACTTGCCACTAGCAAGATTGCTCAAAAAAGTTGCCGTTTATCATCAGGCTTTACTGTTAAATCAAAGTTGTACAAAAGATGAGAACACTGGGGGTGAAAAAAAAAAACAAAAAAACCCAGGCCAACACTAACCTGCTTGCAAAAGAGCAGGTCCAAGTTGCTGGGGCTGGATGCCCTGTGCCAGCATGCGTTGAACCACATTAGGGTGGAGCTGGGGAGGAGGGCGCACCATGGGTACATGGGACAGCAGTGGTACCGGATAGATGGGGCGCGGGAAAGATGAAGAGGGCCCTGGAGGTACCATGGTGGGTGTGTGGTGTCCAGCAGAGCCAGGCCTGAGACGCTCTTGGTCCTTGCTTGGCATGGTCTGTGAGCTGGCCTTTACTCCCCCAGATTGGGCTGCATTCCCATCCATCACCTCCAGGTATAGATTTGGGGAGCTGCTGTCTGTAAACACATAACCCAAATCCCATTGTTAGTGTTGTAGCACTTCAACTAATGTTAAAAATCAGGAGATTGCAGGTAAATTCTGCTTTGTACCATCCTGACTGTGTGCCGCTGCCTCCTCCTTGGTCTCAGAACGACTTGATGGTTCATCTCTGCTTTTCTCTTTTGTCGCATACATTTTGCGGATCACAGATGTGGGCGTAAATGATGGGGACAACTGGAAAAATAAACACATCATTAAAATAAACTTCACAGGACAACTCAAAACAATGACTGCCGGGAGAATGAAGTTTATGCTCACCATGCTTGTGACAGTATTGCCTGGAGAGTGTCTTCCAGCGGGCTGAGGGCCTGGGCCAGGGGAGCGATTTATACGCTGCAGTCTGTGGATCACAAACACATCAACCATACGTAGCTAGCAAATGCTAACAAATCTGTCTTGTTACATACATTTAGTATATGGAAGAGGCCTTAATAACATTAAATTCAACAGTCTGTGCAGTATTTAAACGTGTTTTTAAAAAAACTAACCTATTTCGAAAAGATTTGTCCAGTGGTGGCTTGTAGCCAGACTGGAATGAGTGGTGGGCATGTAGAGCAAGGTCTTGTTGGAATGCCAGAGCTTCCAGGTCTGCTTGATTCACTGGCATAGACAGCGCTCTCATCTGGAAAAACAAAACACAGATACTACTGTCTTAAAAATGAGTTACTTTTGTTAAAATTTAAAAACTGTATTAAAAAAAAGGCAGCTTGGTATCTGGGTAGTCAATCTGACTTATATATTCCATTGAAAACCGATACTAGGTAGGCGAGGGGAGAATTCTTATTTGCATTAACACATTTTTAGATCAAGGGGAGGTGTATTTGGTGTACATTTTATGTTCAAGGCATTTCTTCAAATAAAATAAGTTTACATACACTATTCACATTAAAAAGACATTTGCCTTTTTTATACTGCCGATTACATCCAAAATAAAGATGTCAAATCTTTCTTCAGTAACCCAACAACAATAATGTGATTAATCCAAGTTAAACGTGTCAAAACATTTGTTGTTACCTGTTGCTGTGCAGCAGATCCAGGGCTGATAGACCTGTGTACATCAACAAACTGTTCTGGCAGCATGGTTGGAGGACCAACAGGAAAACCTTCAGGTAGCAGGAGGAGGAAAAACAAATGATCCAGCTCAACACCATTTACTCAACTTGTTTTTAATTTATCTACACAGGTCAGATGATGAGGTTAAAAACCGAATGATTAATAAGACAATGTCTAGTCAATTCATACAATTTGCATTCCTATAAATTCCAGGCATGGTTTACAAGTTTTTAAAAAAGGCTGCCACTTTAGAATGAACTTACCGGCTGCAGGTTGCAAACGACTATTGAAGTAGTCAGGTGAGGGTGCCCTCTGTGGAAAGAGAGGTGGTGACGGGACCTTGTGTAGTAGGCCATGAAGAGGGGCACAGGTGGTGGGGTCCTCAGAGCTGCCCAACAGATTACCAAGTAGTGTGGGGGAGCCACTATGAGCAGGACCTCCCAAGAGCTCCTACAACACACATACAATCCCTTTAGTGTACCAGTCTTAAAAATTTACTTCAAGGAAGCTTGTGTCAGATTTCAAAACATTTTCCAACAGCCCACTGTGTCTCTGGCAGTGTTGCCACCATGCAGAGACTAACTGTCCTCATCCATTAATGTAATGCTTTTAAGACCTAATCTGAAAGGGACCCAAGGACAGTAATCATAACAGGTTGGAAAATGGAAAGAGGGGACCCAAATCAAAAAGCAGTCGCCTTGAAAAGACTACGATACAAAGAACACAAACATTGGCAGCAGAATGATTCTGCCACAAATTGCCTGTACTATGAAGCGAGGTAACTGGCTTATCCAGGTAACTTCAGGAGTAATTTTGTGACGTCAGGTGCAACTTCCCGATTAACCTGTACTACGAAAGGTGGATAGGTGTTACCCAAGGTCTGTTGCCATGGCAATTTATGCTGCATCTCTAAATTACTCAGAGCAAGTTGGGTTTGTGGTAAACACAGGGTTACACCGTGTATGTGGACTACGCCCCACATCTGTATTCATTAATGTTGAGAAGTAGGCCATGATACACACCACTTGACAAAATATTTAGAATTCATCCTGACAGGTTCCACTGTGGCTGCAGCTGAAATAAAGTTCTTCTTAAAACAGCATTATGTTCATACAGTGAGCCCTGCACCCTCTGATTTTAGGGAGGAGATCTTAATTAATGGTCCAATTTCTTCTAGGCTTTCTAGGCTATAATTGAGAAGCGTTTTCACACATTTAGATTGACAATCGATTGAACAAAAAAAACTCAAATTCCCTGAAATTAAAACAGACCAAAAAATAAAAATTACTAGTTTCCTTCTGAATAGTTACACGGAATCCATGGCAAAGTCTCTTAAGGTGCATAATATAGTGACTGGGCTAAACTCGCAAGTATTTCCTCACTGCTACATCTGATTGCAAAGTCCAATATAACCTTCCACTGCATGCATAATACATGGCAGGTGTGTGGTGTGTCAGCCTCGCAAAGTTTCTCTCATTAGGTATGACTTTTTTTTTTTATTACAATAGACTTTATGTGCAGTTTTATATGTAATGTGATTACAGTCTACGAGTCCATAAGATATTAAATAGAGAATTACAAACAAGAACACTGAAAATAATTACAAATTTACTAAATGCAATGCCAACAAGCCTCCCTGGCGTTGTTGGCCACCATGATATTAGAGTTAGCCTTTAACGTGTCTCCTCATTTCCTGTGCATTCTTCTGGGAAAAATACAGAGCATGTGCCGTTGCAGAAAAGCTCTGCCTGCATGGCTGAACACACCCCTTTTATGCAAACCAACTCCAATTAATTTAACACCGACTCAACTAACCAACATCTTATTGACCATTGTGGTACCGTTTACCACCAGTGTAGACGGTCAGCATTTATCAACAGAGTTTGCTTGATAACCCCAAGTTGACTGAGTAGGTTTAACTCTTGTAGTAAAACAGGACCCTACTTGGAGCCAACGTAATTTACATCAGCCCTGATTTTGTTAATAGGAAGAGTGGACCTGTAAAGACCTCAAGCCTACTAAACATTTGTCAGCATTTGCCTGAGAAAATACACACCTGAAATATGTTTTTTTGCTGTTGAAGTGGCACTGGAGCTTCAGACACAGTCACCATGGCTTGTTCTGAAGGTTGCTGCATTGTACAGGGAGAAAGAATTTGTGGCAGGTGCAATGCAACCAAAAAAAACCAAACAAAAAAAAACCCAAAACAAAAACACACACACACACACACACACACACACACACACACACACACACCACCCCATTTCCTTGTATAAACCCATCCCAGTAAGTAATGCAGTGTGTGGTAGGCATCTTGAAATGCCCCATAACAGAAAGTGGCACACAAATTGGCCTTCAAGTATCAGTGATCACCTGATATAAAATTTGGACATATCTAATATAGAGTTTGGTGAAACCTCAAACTGAAACACTGCACACCAGCTGAAATGGATTTGTACATGAGTCGCAATCAAAGTGTCCCTCATGCCAGTCAGTGTGCCTTTGGATTAATGTACTGAAATTTTCCTTAATAAATCATCCAATGACTGAGTTTAACACAGTTCTTGTCTCAGAGCAAAAGTAATCAGTAATTCAGAAACTGACTTGCATTTAAAAAAAAAGGACTCTTTCAAAGGAAGCTTTCATACATCAAACAACCTCAAACCGTTAAATTTATGCCCATCACTTTCCAGCCTGTTCATTAAATTTTCAAAAGTAGGTCATCTAGGCCAAGTTTAAGAAGCTTGCATGCAGCATCACACAGGGACAGGTGTGCATGAGCAGTTACCCGTTCCATAGTAACATGCAATGTTTTTACTCATCCAGTGTAAGCCAGGGTCAATAAATATATAAAAATACTTACATTGTTTGTGTTGGTTTTGGGGTGAGTTGGCAGAGTTCCACTTGCCTTCATGCTGCTGACCAGTTTATTAAAGGCCGACATGTCTGAATCACGCGAGTGTGGACGAGCGCTGGTACCACCGGTTAAAGCCTCCTCTAAATGTTCAGCCATGAAGGGCGTGCCATTTCCTCTCTTTGGAGGCGGCACCTTTCGGACTTGTTGTTCTGTACCCAGCTTCATCCCCTTCATCCCACCCTCCACTTCCTCCAGGGAGAGCACCGCTCCGCAGTTAGCTGGGGACAGACATAAGTAAACTTCATGTAGCACTTTAACACAAAGTAGAATGAAATGCTAATTTAACACCATTAAAACAATTGAGAATGTCATGATAAGTCTGAGTTTTGAAGAGCTTTATGTTAAGACAATGACTCTGCATACTTGAGACCTTCAGGCAGGAAATCTAAGCTCAAAGGACTGATAACCCTCAGCGAGTGTTCAGATACTCAAGGGGCTGCGCACTGGTTTGCAGCTCGTTACTGAGACTATGAAATGCAAATCAGAAAGCCCAGTTTCATAGCCATCAGACGCACAGATCTATTCCTCAGATACACAAATACTGCACAATGCTGAGAGAAAAGATGAAATGACTGTCCCTGTTATAACTCTACAAGAGTAAATAGAGATGCAGCGTTCACGTTACAGTATTTTACCTAAAATGTGCACTGGCATGTACTTTACTGGCAGATGCAGGACGTGACTAGATTGAACTGCGCAGCATTGCAGCAAAACAAAAGCCGAGTCAGGCTCGACATTTTGGCCAAATTACCCTGCTTTTTGTTTTTAGCTGAGGCCTCCTGCGATTGCACCCTAAGACAAAAGGCTTCAGTCAGTGAGCCCTAAGGAGCATATGCATTTTTTGCCAACATTGGTCTGATCACAGCCTTTGTATTGAAGTAAAACTTGGGAACCATGAGTAAAGCTGTTAATTGCAAAAAGTATCTCAATTCAGATATTTCCTTCTCTGGATTAGCCAAAAACATTCAACATCTGTTTGTTTGTCCATTTCCAAAACAGACATTTCATAAGTGTACTATAATCAAAATATGTATTGCTATTATTGCAATAGAACATTATACCATGCTTAAAATTGTATCCATTTTGCCTGACCATACAGGAACAAGTTTACTAGTGCACTGTTTATTTCCAGTACAATGTGCATTATGGTTTAACGCCACTGTGCAAAGGTTTCTGTGAACTGGCACTCACTGCTTTCCCGTAGCCGAGCCTTGTTGACCGACAGGGTGGAAAGAAGGGGCTTCAGGTCTATTTTGGCTTTGTGCAGCAGCTCCAGGATGTCCACCTTCTCCCTGCACTCCGATGATTGAATAGGTGTGAAATATGGGGCAGGGCCGTGGCTAGGGGAAGTGCAGCGTGGCTCAAGCCCTTCAGAGGAGTGAAACAGTGCAACATCCATATTAGTGGCATGATCATCACAAAGCAACAACAGGCTAGCTAGCATTTAGGGCTGGCCGATATTGCCAAAGAGTCATACCCCGGTACTTTTAGGCAGAATTCTGGTATAATTAAAAAGAAAAAGAAAGAAAGAAACAAAAAACCACCACTCACGCACCAAACAGGCTGGGGTGGTGGGGCAGTTTTAGCAGGTATGTTTTACTATTTTTAGTAACAGATTGTTTCTTATTTCACTGTTTTAATTATACTTCATTCTCCATCTTAAGTATCACTCGCTTATTGAATTCACCTCCTTCAGTTCTCTTTACACCTAACGCACCTCTGCTGCAAACGCGTCAGCATTCCCCTCTTATGCTGTTTTTCCGTTACCAGTACCAGCTCAACTCTACTCGGTTTGGCCGTCCTCTGTTTTCCATTGCAGATAGTAGCCAGAGATGGCACCCCTCAATGTAGCTGGTCGTCATAGCGACGCCACAATCACACACACTGCCACAACGTAATGTTCAATGCAACAAACACCAGCGAATAAACAGCCGTCTCTTGATTAAGTTAAAACGTTTCAACATTACTCAGAATGTTGAGAAAGATCAGACGGAGGTGATACGAATCAAAAAAAGTACCTGGTAGCAGGCACAAGTACAACTTGCACACAATGGAAAACCAAAAAAAATAATAAAAAAAAAGGGTGAGTTGAGCTGGTACAGTGCAGTGGAAGAGGGGCTTTACCCCCCCCCCCTCCCCCGGTATGTCCACTTCAGTGACTTTCTCCATCAGCAGTAGGCTAAGCTGTATAAAGTCACTGAAAAAGAAACAGAACAGAGCAAACACTTGCAGGAAAAAAATTCATTAACTCTATCGGTATTGTTTAATTTCAGCTCTTTTGAAATTATATCCGTATACCTCATACAGATATACTGCCCAGCCCTACAAGCATTGGAGTGCGATATAGACACTTTCAGCGGTAACAGACAAACTGTACTGCGCATGTGCATTACTCTGGCCCAAACCTAACTTTCGGCAGACTTCCTCAAAAAATCCATAACGTTAGCTAGTATGGGCCTCTACAAAACTGCTTGCTACTCCCTTGCCCTACCTACTTCAACTCCGTTTGCGCATTCATGCGGAGGGTCCGCCACATTGAGTGCCATCTAAAACCAATAAGGATGGAGTGGGCTGTTAAACCCTCAAATGCCGAGTAAACACCGAGGCCAGCTTGTTGAAGGTGTGCAACACCCTTTACTCCACGATGGGCGACTTCTCTTTAAAATGTGAGATCCGTGTGACTTTGGTTAACATGTAGGATTTTTTAAATTCAGAAACGACATTAACATTTCATATCACCATTCGCAGGTCAACAACGTAGCTCAGAGGTTATATTGTGTTTTTTTAATTTATTTTTTAATTTAATACACATAGCAGTGAGTGCAGCGGTAACGTCAGATCCCATTTATGCTGGGAGAGGGTAGTTCGTCCAGAAGTTGGCCGCTGTATTTTTACCCTATGTGGGTTAGTTGGTTCAAATACCCCTTTAGGGAGCTTGATTTGGCTGTGGGGGGGGGGGGGGACTCCAAGTAGAGTTGACTTTGTGTCAGACTGGAAGTGATGAGAGTCTAGTTTCGGAAAGGCTCCCAGTAATAAACAGAACGGAAGTTAACTTTGGGATCATCTTGGCAATGGGTCCGATGAAAGTCTATAAAAAGGAGCAGTTTGGTGTTTCAAGCTTTTGCCCTGAATGTTCTTTCAAGAGAAAAAATAAATAAATCTTCCATTTACTGACTTATCTGGATAGTTAGATTTACTCAAGTTATCCTGGTACTTCACTAAATCTTTTTAAAGAACAGGCTGATCTTGAGGTTTTCAAATTGCTACACGCCAAAACACAGCTTCACCAAAGAGTGCTATGCCTGGTTTTAAGCTACATAGTTACATGAAGCTCATTCAAGGAAATCAAATCATTTACCTGCAAGTTTTTCCAGCTCCTCATGGGGAGTGGACCTCAGACTGCTGGACCGGCTGCCTGATGGGCTCATGTTACTGGAGAACCACTGGCTGAAGCGGCTAGCCGATACAGGGCCCTCCCCCAAAACGTCCTCTATCATCTGCAAGACAGAAGCAGGCACCTGTGAGACAAAGTGGGAAACACAAATCGGCAGACGAAGGGTACGAGGACAAAGGTCGCACTTACGTTTAAGGTGCTTTCCATCGACTTAGCACAAAATGTGCTAGAAGACTGAGGGCAGTGTCAGTGAACGCACTGCAGTTTGGCCTTGTGTTGCCACAAACACGTGAGAACACAACTTTATTCACTCAGTTCTCCAATTAATAGCAAGTCTAACGTAGCTATAATGATGGGCATAAATTTGATCGTCGATACCTTTAACCTCTTGTTAACACCATGCAGCAGCCCACTGACAAAAATATTTAACAATGGACTCTTCAGTGACCCACCACCACAGAGCAAGTTTAGTGAGATCAGTGCCAGTGCAGCAGAGGTAATCATCTGTTGACACAAAGTTATCTGCCAACTTAATACTTAGATTCAAAAAGGCTTGTTTATTTTTTATAAAACATGAACACCACAGCCATCAATGTAGTCTCTAAAATGTACTTCATGATCATCTAAATACATGGAAAATCACAAGTCTGTTTTTTTGGGTAGGGTGGTAGATCCACTCGAAAACCTCTACTGTTAAGCTTATACTGATTAGAGTACTACATAAAAGGAGAAAAAGGTTATAAATGCAATCCCATCTGTGATGTTCACACCTTTAGCAAAACCAAGAAAACCACACGGTGCACCCCTGTACTTACAGAGGCCAGTCCTGGCATGGTCTTCTCCAGATTGAAGAACTCATTGAAGTCAAAGTCTCCAGTCGTCTGCTCAGGCAGAACATCAGGGTGGGGAACCTCCTGATCAGCAGTAGACTGCAAACCAACAGCTCGCTCTTCAGCCTGTCCACCGTTACATTCCACAGCTGCACATAAAAAAAAAAAAAAAGCTGGTTATCCAAATCATATTGTGCAGTTTACCGATTAAAAAGTGAATATATATAAAGGGTAAACTTCATTATGACTAATTCTGAAAAGAAAAAATACAAATAAAACATTTGACATGCCTTCTTTGAGAGACTCTGCCCGCTTCCTTGACCGCTTGGACCTGCGCTTATCATCTTCCAGGATTTTGTCGTCGAATCCAATGAGCTCAATTGTCTCAGATTGGCTGGTGGGACCCCCAGAGAACCACTCTGGCTCCTCCTCTGCATAAGAGTCATTCCTTCTCCTTTCACTAAACACACGCTTGTCACCAAAATCTCTCTGCAAATGATAAGACAAGGCAAACATAAAATTACCAAACACCACATTGCCAAAAAAAATAAAAGCACTGCTCCTGAAATGAACTAAATGTAGAAACCACATTGATGAAGCTAGACGTTAGATCAAGCAGCACCTTCCTTATTTTACTAAAAAGGCTTTAATTTTTTTCCTGCACACTTTTCAGCTAGCTTTATCATGTAGGTAAATGTATCTCCACAGATAGTTTTGTGAGAAACTGAAACCTGTGATATTGCAGAACTCTTTCTTCTTGGTAAATCCTACTTGCATTAGAATTGCAAAGAAATGTCAACCTCGATGCACTGAATGCCTTGCGGCCCAAACACTAAGGGAAATACATTATGGATGGAGTGAAAGCAATGAACACCAACCCTGAATCTTTTATCCTTAAAGTCTCTCTCACGTTCCCTCTCTTTCTCCACACGGGGTTCTCTCTCAAAGGTTCGGGCAGCAATTATGCGGCCACTGCCAATTCTGCGTGCCCCTCCTAGACGGAGACTCTCATTCTCTTTATTTTCCAGGGGGCTGATTGGGCGACGGATGTGGGGTGCAAGTGCAGCGTTGCCTTGACAGCCACCTCCGAAGCTGCGTCGCTGCGGGCTCAGTACAACATCCAGATCATCCTCCTTTAACCGCTCACGAGGATCTGAATACGATGTAGCAAATAGGCTCAGTTTTAGATGTTAAGAGAACAGACAAAACCAAACCAACAAGCCAGTGTATCCCTAGATTACAAATCTTTCATTCCCCCACCCCCCCCAAGAAACATTTCATTTCTGCCTTATTTATATTATCCATCAAGAAAATACTATGGAGTTACATTTGTACAAGCATAATACAGAGGTGCTGAACATTCAGGGGTTGTGAACATTACAATTACAGAGACCTTTTGTAGATAACATTTATATTCCTTCATGCATATCAGTTGGTCTCTTGACACAAACATCCTTCTACAGACAGTAAGATCATTTTATGACCTGTGTTTTGGTTTGAATCTGAACATTCCTGGCTTTGGGTCATTTACCTGGGATTCTTCGTTTCAAAGGAACTCTATCATCCACATATTCCTTCTTAAAACCTTCCACTGGAGAGCTACGCTCTGAAGTGGGATACAGTGAGGCATGCCACTTCTCAGGGTCCCAGACACCATCACTGTATCAAAACACCATTTGATCGCACAATTAAAAAAAAAAACCACAGACAGTCGACTAGTGTACAGACTAAAATAAGACTACTAACTAAAATGATTCCATAAACAAAAATCCCAATTGGGTAAAAGATGATTTTACATGGTATACAGATAATAGAAACATGCAAGGCTAACAACAATGATGACATACATACAGGTGGCACAGCTTACATATCAGTTTCTCTTTATGCTTCTAATCATTAGAAAGTCAAATTATAGTACTATCTAACAACTACATTTAGTGAAAGTCAACATGGCCAACATTTAAAAAACAACCACAACCATGGATGTCAGCCTTTATCCTGTGAGCTAAGAGGTGCTAATTGTATTTCCTAGTCATACCAGCTACTTTTCATTGAATTCAGTCATCCCATGTCTGAGCATCACTCCCTGATTAAATATTTGGAACTTTAAATTACTTAAAACACAAAAAACTGCTGGTGGATGAGATGTTAATTCTGAAAATCTGTCATTCACCAACATCTCAAATCTGAATCCAACCCATTCAGAATGTATCAAACTGAGGAAGTAGAAGCATGTCAAAGATGGCTGCTTCCTTTTTTGTTTAATAAGTTTCCCATGAAAGTGTCCACTTTTTGCACTGCTGGACAGTCACTGCTCACATGGCTATAGCAAACACTGCCCCTAGAATTTACAGGCACCAGGAGCCAGTTTGACCAGCCACTTGCAGTACTGTATGTGGTCAATATTTCCTCAAGGAATCTAAATAAATGGGTTGCACTGAGATTCAAGACTTAAGTAAATATAACTAAATAACAGCAGGGCCTGAGGAAAATCGGCTACCCAAATTATACAATTATTTAGTTAAATTCAATCACAAGTGTGTGAATTCATTAGCCTATCAGCTCTACTTCCGAATCATGCAAAGTAACATGCACACTACACCCAATTCCAGCAGTACATACAACGCTTACTTGATGCATACTTTCATCTATATGCTGAGACATGGTGTGAACTTCAGAGGCATGTGAGGACATGGTGCTGTGTTCTGTATACTTAGGTTCTAGCAACTGTCAAACAATTCTGTCACCCACAATGGAGCACATCTAAGCAGTCTCATTACACAAGATTAATCGTCCCTTGTTGACCAACATATGATATGGATTATGTATGGAGTGGATTTTTAAGTTTGAGAAATTCTTACCTGTCATATTTCTCAGATAGACACATCGGCCTCTCATTGGAGACAGGTAATTCTTTTATTTCCAAAAGCTCCTCCTGTATAACAATTAATATGGGTTAATTTCTGTTAGGAAGAACCCTGTATGACCGCTAAGTGATTATATTGTTGGTATTTCTAGCCACCTTTGTGTATCTGTAAGGAGCCATGGCTGCTGGCTGTTTAACCTGGTCCACAGCAGCATCGCCATTCTTCTGCTCTGCACAAGCATCGTTCTCCATGACTGGTTTCAGATGCAGAACAGCTTCCAGCCGAACAATGACTCTGTACCTGTTGGAGACAACGTTAACGTTTCTAAGTTTATCAAGCATGACCATAAGTTAGCTGCTCCACTGACTTTTGATCAGTGTGAACAATGTAGCCTTAAAAGGTTAAGCAACTAAAGTATTGCTTTTTTAAAAAAATGATTTTCAAACCAGGAAACGTCGACAAGCAAAACACAATAAAAATAAATAAACTTCACACAATGACTGTCGAGCCAACTTACACGGGGACTGTTTTAACAAACGCTGCTAACTAATTAGCAAGTTAATTGACTACAGCCAGAGACCGCTGACATGGGGCGAGCCCGTCAATTACAATAATTCACCTAACGTTAGCGTTAATTGACAAATCGCCTGCAGCACCTGGACTGAACAAAGGTGTTTCGATAGAAATCTACAGCCAGTACGTAAACGTTACTTCACCAGTAACGTTACATTACTGAATGAATAATCTCTTCAGTGAGTTTCAGGAAAACATAACTTACGCTAATATTAGCCCAGACATTGGTGGAGGGTTAGCTAAGCTAGCGTCCCACACACACAGTTCACTAGAAACTTCATTCGTGGTGTAAATTCGTTTAAACAACTGACTGGCTAGTACATATACAAACAAACGGCCAACTTACTCAGATTGAATGCTGCGTGAATAGCGGTCGGTAACGGCCAAGCAGCGGCAGTTCACGATAGATAGTTAGCTAGCTAGCAGACCTAGCACCTTTAGCTAGCTAGCTAACTAGCTGGGGAATGGGGATAATGCCCACCCAGCGACCACCAAATCTAAAACCGGTTGAGTTGTTGCAGTGATTTCAGCAAAAGCACAATGAACTGGGGTAACTAAACACAATAACACAGGTCCTAATAACAAAGTAATTCACACGGAGACTGTGTAATTTCAAATAATTGTCTGCTCTTTCTCTGTTTTCTAAGTCGTAGCAGCAATTTTCTTCTGATCACCGCTTTAAGAAGGTCCTAGGAAAGATTACATTGTGCCCATCGCGCCTTTGTAGAATTGTACAAAGTCTGGTGTGCGTCGGCGGTGTTGCATTTTAATATATAAACCATAATAACGAACTATGATACATAACAATAAAAATCGGGGCAAAATTTAAACTTGATATGTAGGGGAATAACTTACACTAAACTTAGAACATTTAAGAGGCACTATTTGGGGCAGCTGCTCTTTGTCATGGGGTTTGCCCGATTTGTTACTCTGTAATGGCCGTCTACCGGCGCTTCTTTGTGTAAATGCGAGACCCCGCTCGCACGGGCTGTCCAGGAATAACATTGCGAGTTGTCGCTACACTGAAAGGACGCTGGGGACGTTCCTGGCGCTTAGTACTCTGCACAGCGCAGCGAGAATACAAATATCACAATTTAAACTCTTGTGTAGAGGATAAAGTCATGAAACTACGGCCTAAGTTCCAGCCTGAAAAAAATATTAAACTGTGTGAAAACGCCAGAGAGACACATTTAACGTCCACAACCTGAACTTCGTGCAGCGGGTACCTGTTAACAACTGTCTGGAACAGACCCTGTTCACGTGACAAGGAAAACAAACGCGCGGCGCTTCGTTACCAAAACAGTTTACTCACGTCGGCGAAGGATGCAAGTGGCTTAGATCTGTTATAACGTCTTGATCTTTGTTGATTTTCTTTCAGATGTTATGTTGTGGTTCTACAGGGCCGTACACACTAGTGTTCTGATTTAATATAATGCAGAGTAACGCTAAAAAGCCAGATCTAGTTAGACCCCGACCGAGCAGTGTCAGTTCTGGTGGTGACACTAAACACGTCCGCAAAGTTCACATCAGAAAGGTTCCTTACAGAGTTGGCTACAGCTGGAACAAAGGTGGGAGACTCAAGGAGCTCAGAATAAGGTACTGAGATACTTAATTTACTGTATTTCAGCGTGTTACCTTTAACATTTATAACTTGGTCTAACTTTTTTTCAATCATTGCAGGCACTTGGCAAGGAAGTTCCTGAAGATATGGATGCAGAATACCTTTGGACGAATTCTTCCTCATAAAGCCAAGTAACGTGTTTCACTCATTTTGCGAACTGGGCTTGTTGACTTTACAGCTTCACAGTCTGTTTGCACAGTCTTTGAAATGTCCTACCTGAGCCTGGGTTCTCTAATTAAGGGGAATATTACTTGCTGCAGGTCCCACTATAACAGCGTGGTCTTGAGACGAGCCTTTGAAGGATGGAGAGACGAGTGGTGGACGTCCAGGAGAGAGTGGGGTCTTACACTGCGGGCAGAGTGTCACCACAGGTACACACATACAGTCTTGCACCTCAGTCAGATGTTCACCGACAGCATTTCTGTCTGCTAATGGTGTATTTTGTGTTTCAGGTATTATCTTTATAACTTGGTGTTCCGTGGCTGGCGGACTTTTTTGTCACTGCAGCTGGAAAAGAAGAGCAAAGTCCAAAATGCTCAATTATTTGGTATGATTTTGGCACAGACAATGAGAGTATATCTTAGCCTTAAAGTCTTGTGTTTTGTTAGATATTACAAGCAGCCGTTTTGTCATTAATCCCTTTGTTTTGTTAACTAGCTGACAGGCAACGGATGCGTCTGGTTTGGGAAAGGTGGGAGGATTTCACAGAGATGAGGCAAATAAAGAGGAGAATGCTTGAATCTGCCCTCGAGCAGAACAGACTTACAACTCTGCAGTAAGATCATCGCATTTACAAACCAGAACTACACTTATGCTTTCTTTACTATTATTTTTAACACTGTGTTTATTCACCTGTGCAGTTCAGCGTGGAACCTGTGGCAGATGAGGCTGCAGCAGCAACAAGACTTTCACGCATTAGAGGACCAAGCCTGGAAACAGAGGGCGCTGACTTTACAGAGCAGGGTTAAGACATGATCCAACTGCCAAATAATATATTGTCATTGTGTGTGACTGACCTCTTTTGTATTTTGTGTGGTGACACGTGAACTTCAACACATATTTATATTTATTTTTTATTTTTGTCAAAGACTTGGCTTCAGTGGAAAGAAATGCACATGGCTGCTTGTTGCCAGAAAAAGAAAGAGTCCAAAGCTGCACTTCACTTCATCCTCAGGCTGAAAAAAAAAACATTACATCGTTGGAAAAGCTATGTGTTATGTCTCCAAACCAAGAAAAAGTCACAAGGTCAAAATATACCTATACCTCTCATGTATAACAACTGCTTGTTCACAGTTTTAAACTCGATTACACAATTGTCTCTCACACTTCCTTTTCTATCTCCTTTAGCTGTGGCTCAGCTTGCCTGCCACTTCCGCCTGATGATGATCGGTTGGAGAAAATGGCGCGGCGCGTTGCAACGCAAGCAGGGCCAGGAGGACCGTTTGCAAGCTGCAGGGCATTTGGCCATTCAGAGTACCCAGCGCAGGGCACTGGAGCGCTGGAGAGCTTGTATCCTAATTCAGACATAAAATAAACATAACTTCCTTTTTCACACCAACTACAGCAGCATAAGCAGTCAGCTGAGGGATCGTTAAGGGCTTGTCAGTATCAGGTATAGTTGTTTGATACCTAAGCATGGCATTAGATGTGACGTTGTGCAGAGAAGAGGCTGAAAGAAACAGTATTGCAAGTCAACATTATCATCATCGTCTACTGGTAAGATCCCCCCCCCCCCCCAAAATAAAAATAAGAACTATGTATAACTAGAGAGTGTGATTGTGTAGCGTATTGTTCACTGTGTGTTCTTGTTGCAGGGTGCTGGAGTGCTGGGACTTCGTCTTAACGTCATCTGGAACAAATCACACCGACTGAACAACAACATGGCTGTCCAACATCATCATCAAACTGTAATTGATGTGCACTCCCTCATGCTAATGCTCCAGCATCAGTTATATACTTTAAGTAATGTTTTTTAAAACTTCTAAAGGTTTAATCCTTGCATTTTTCATAGATGACAAACAAGTATTGGAAGCTGTGGCAGGAGCGTCTGGAGGAGGCTGAAGACAAGAGTTTCCAACCCCTAACAGAAATGGCTCTGACTAACCATAGGTGCTTTTATTTACATTTCCCAATCCCCTAGCAGTAGCTGTGTTTGTCCTTCAGTGAAAAATATATAAATTGCTTTGTGTTTGCATAATTTGGAGTTTTGACTTGTTTTTGTCTTTACAGCACATCACTGTTAAGCAGATGTTTTCACCACTGGAGAGCGGAACTTGCTGAACTGAGACACATGCAGGTATTTTTAAATCCAATACATGAGCAGTACTTCAGAGCAGAGACACATGTCTATAGATATTCTAAGGATATTCTTTATGCATTTCTAACATAATATCACAGTATGCAAATTCCTTCAAATTGTAGGCAAACAGGCGGTGGACATATGAGTGATATCTGTGTGAGCCTCATTCCTACATATAGTAGTTTAGTTGCAAACTCAAAAACATCTTCTTTTCCTGCAGGAATTGGACTGCCGTGCAGACGTTTGGTTTGCTGAACACATGTTGCCTCGGTGTTTCAGCTTGTGGGTTGAGTTTGCTCTGCAGAGAAGGCTCCATAAACAGAGGAGACACAAGGCAGAAGTCTATAATAAGTGAGTTACAACTCGCCACCAATTTATTTTTGTGCCGTAATGAATTTCCACACTAAGCGGAGTTGGCCCTTCTGTGGTCTCTGCATGCTTTCTGTGATCGTATTTGTATTATCAGGCAGCGTCAGCACTCTTGGGTGTTTTACACATGGTGGGGACAATCAGAGAAGCACAAGGAGCAGATGCTTTCTGAGCGAATGGTATGTTAATGGAAACACAAACTATTGCGAATTGTTGATTAAGAGCGCCACTCTGTATCAAATGCAGACAAATAACTCACTTCTATCAGGCAATTCTACACGAGGAGCGGTGCCGCTTGCAGAGTGCCTGGGCTCGCTGGAGGCAGCGGACAGAGCAGCAGATGAATGAGGAGGCTAAACGGGAGGCTTCAGAGCGTCTGTACCTGCACAGACTGATCCACAAGACGATGGCACAGTGGAGAGATAACAGCGCTGAGATACGAGACAGGTGAAGCAAGACACTAAGCTTCGAGTTGGGTAGTTAACTTGCTGCTCTGTTGTCTAACACAGATTTTTGAACACTTGTTTGCACGTCAGGAGGAATCGAGAGCAGCAGGCTTGTCATCAGGGTGACCTGCACTGCATGAGTTGGGCTGTGGAAAAATGGAAAAAGGTGACTCTTTGGATAAAGGTTTACATGTTTATGTCTGAGAACTTGTATCTTCTGCTGAGCTGGTAGCCTGCAGGGCCGGAGTGCTGATGTGTATATTATTATGTGTATAATATTACAAGACCTACATTGTGTGTCTCATTTAAAAACATATCATTGGATTATAGCACAGCTCCCAGGTGTTATAATTATAAAAACAAATCCTGTTCAATCAGATGCAGTTATCTGCTTCAGGTCTGTGTGTGTGTGTGTGTGTGTGTGTGTGTGTGTTTTAAGTGGCTCTTGTGTGTTTGGTCAGTTTGTTCAGAGCCAGCGAGTGAAGAAAAGCAGACTGAAGCAGATGCAGCATTACCACGAAGTTAAACTTCTCCAACACGCGTTTGCGGCCTGGAAGGTACATCAATATTATGCAATCACACGCTTTCTTGAGGTTGTAGTAACAAAGACACACTGATACACTGTGGCCTGCTGTATTCACAGAAACACCACCTACAGACGTCTCAGATCTATGGCCATGCAGAAGAACTTCACAGACAACAAAAACAGAACTTTCTCAGGTATTGAACATAAATACTGAAATATGAATTTCTTTAATTAGAAACCAATGGTGGATTTTCTGTAAATGATCAATATAACACTGAGCTGCTATCTGTTTCCCATTGTCTCCATCTGAATGTTTCATGTCAGCTTTATCTCCTCAGTCTCAATAATATCTCTATTCAGGAAGGTGCTCTCTGTTTGGTGGGAGAACACGGTGCTGCTCACAGAGGTCAGGCTCATGGAGCGACGAGCACAGAATCACTTCCAGCATTTCCTTCAGCTTAAGGTTATAAAGCAGTCTGGTGCCCTCATATGCAAAACTATCATAGTTACACCTTTCTGGACCCTTTGCTCATTGCTTTTTTGTAAATCTGTCAAGGTGTTTCTTGCTTGGAGAGAAGCAACAACACGCGCAGTATCAAAGCGCCACCAGCAGGGGGAAGCAGTCAGCAGGGCTCAGAGGTCCATAAATCAAGGTAACAGCAGAAGTCTTTACAATGACCACATGCAGGAAAGTTTCAGTATTTATTTTCAGTTGTACTAAGCTATGTACATTTCTTACACTTACCGCTTGGTAGTTAGGAAGAGCTTGTTTAAAACGAAGCTGCTCTTACTCTTATTGTTGACAGCTGATAATAAACATAATAATAATAAAAATCCTTCTAGCCTTTCTACAATCTTATGTCCCAGACAAATGGGAGCCATTGTCATCTACTGTGTGTCTGTTGTATCACTGTTTTCATAGTATTCAACCACCAATTTGACAACTATCAAGTTATGGTTGTGTCAGAATTCCCATGTGTACCTGAAACCAAACTTTCCTGTGTTTAGTGCAGCTGCTGCGATCTTTCAGACAGTGGAGGAAGCAAACCAGGGAGGCTCGGAGAGAGAGGATATGCATGGAAAAGGCCAGACAGCACCATGAGTCCAAGATCCTCTCTAAAGCACTGAAAGCATGGAATAAGCATCACTACCAATATCAGAAAAATAAGGTTGTAACTTCATAATTCATGAACTGTTATAGAAAGCCACACTGTTTACTGCATGCGGTAACTTGATTTTTTTCATAGGTAATGAAACGACAGGGACTCTTTTTGCTGAGATTAAAGATGTACCAGAAGTACTTTGAACAGTGGAATATGCAGGTTTGTTGATAACCCTGTTTCACACAAACACTTAACACATGAAGATCACTTGTCATGTCACTACTCAGTAAGTAAAAATACTAAATATCTGGAGTACCCCTTTAAATTGTAATACCTTAGCCACAGGATGAACAGAATGGAGTTAATTGGCCTTGTTTCATTTGTATCATGTTTCTTTTGAGGCAAGTGGTCAGCTTCCTGTATCGGACTATATATGAGGGCCAGACCGATAGACGTGGTATGTTTTAGTGCAGAGAAACTGGCCAAGACTTTGGTTTCTTTCCTGCTAACAGCTGCAGCACAGACGGAGAGAAGCTAAGCAGACGGAGCGAGCGCTCTGGCACTGGTCCCTCACTCTTCAGGCCAAGGTAACACCCATCCGCACATTCTTCTCTCGCTAGAACATTGAGCACTGAATTGCAGAATTGGTGCTCACACGGTTTTAATGCGTTATCTTGACGTTGTTTCGTGAACCTGCCGCAGGTGTTGAACGGATGGAGGCTGTGGGTCACGGAGCAGCACAGGAAACAAGAGGAGGCGGCCAGGGCTGCACAGGTCTACAGGGACCAGCTGCTGAGGGAGGGCGTGACATGCATCCTCACATACGCTGCTCACATGAGCGACCTCACAACGAGCCTGACACAACACAGCCAAGAGCAGGTTGGTTACTGTGTGTGTGTGTGTGTGTGTGTGTGTCCCTTTAGAAGGATAAATTTGAGTATCATTTCATCAAGTCTGCCCGTGTCCAGCAGAGGTCGCGACATATCCAGAGAGTGGTTAAGCGTTGTGCCATGCGGTGGAAGCAGCGGGCGCTGTGTAAACCACGAAGAGAGCAAGCGGTCAAAGGGCAAACACCGAAAAAGAGTGTGACCTTCTCTTTGACGACGCCTGGATTGAAGAGTCTGAATCTGTCTGACTCTGTGGAGCAGCAGGCTGAAGATGAAGTCCTTAGCGAGCTGTGAGTCTGAGCTCCTGACCAGCTGTGTTCAACACATGGAATCAGTCTTACAGAGTTCTGCTTGTTTTTTTGCAGATTGCTCAGACCTACCTCTCGTCGTCAGCCACGTCGCTGCGAGGACCTGTTTGAGCCTCCACTAAAAATAAAGTAAAACCCTTTTTTACCCTAAAATACTACACACCTATTCCAATTCAGAATTCAGTTTAACTTGAAACATCATGTTAAAAATCTTTAGGCCACTGACAAAAGCCCTTTCTCTCGTTTTCTAGTACTCAAAAGCAGTCTGCCCTCACCAGCACCAGTTGTCCTACACAGGAAGGCCGTCATACTGTGTTGTCCTGCCTCCATCCTGCTAAAGTCACTGTTACCTCCCCACACCAGAGCATCGTCCTATCTACTGTGTCACCCTCTGACCCGCACATGTCCACGAAGGACTCTCCTCAGAAAAACCAAGATGTTCTTTTACCCCCCTCTGCTTTCATGACCACCGGGCCCAAAGATTCAGTAATAATCACCTGTTTGGCAGATATTATAATATACATTCAGTGTTAAATTAAATAACTTGACTTGGGTTATATCATCTGTTTTTTTTCCTTCTGGGGCAGACCAGCAGCTCAGGCTCTGGACTTGCTCCACTTGCTCCCTTTAAACAACACTCCTCAGCTCATGCAGGTATGATACCTGCACCTTTCTTCCCCATTGTGGGTTACTTTTTCTAATTAATCATAAAGTAACATATTTAGGCTTGGTTGGATTATGCAGAAAATGCTGTGATCTAACAAGCTTTTTGTTGTGCTTCTTTAAGACGTACGTCCGAGAGCATCCTTTGGAGAAGTTGCGGCTTTGGATCCAACTTCAGATCTGACCAGAGAGCTGCTCAGCATCCAGCGGGACATGAAGATGTACCGAGAGGACAGGAAGCAGCTCCGGTAAGAAATCTGGGAGAACAGTTTTTCCATTCCTCTAGCTGAACACATTGTCTGCATAGTAACTGATGTTTGATTGCGTGTGTCCACTCAGCGCATGGCAAAAGCTGAAAGAGGTATTGCAAAGTTGGCTGCAGACCAGCAGACAGGACGAGGAAATGGAAGAAAATGCTGTTTGTCAAGAGGTGAAAGAGGTAAGAAGATTAGTCATTGTTGAATGCTCAACAGGAAACAACACACATAAATAGCAATTAATGGCCGCACTAGTCAAGGTGATATAGGTTGAAAATGACAAGGTACATGTGTATAACCTCTTATAACTACTGCTGTTATGTAAAGAGACAGGGTTTGTGATTTTCTCTGATGGCTTAAATTTTGCATGCATTCTTTATGCATGCAATAAATCCTTATACCATAAAAAATCAGAGGTCACATGAGGGGAAACAGTATGAAATAACTTGCACCTAAACTGTGTCACAGTTGATGTTTTTTGATGTTGACAGTTGGAGGAGCGTATCGATAGACTGTCCACTGAACTGGCCAAACGGAAACCGGCAATGCTGCTGCATGCAGAGAGGATCCAGCATTTACAGACTGTCCTCACAGATCAGATCAGCTCTGTGTTTACAACATGACAAGAAATAATTCCTCACGCACTCCAAAAGTGATTACCTGATCATGAACGTTGAATCAGAAAACTGCTCACCAGCTGATACATATTTTGCCATAAGCTTGCTTGTTTTTTAGATTGAACATTTATACTTCTACTGCACTTGGCTTGTGAGGGGAGGAGGGATATCTTAATGTCCACTTATTGCTATGTATTCTTGTTGAATATCATGTAAAATAACTGAGCGTATCCAAATACAGCCTTACAGCTGCTTTTACTGCTGCATCTACACTTAAAATCCAGAAAACGTTGGCTAGGGGTTGTTCTTGTGACAGATGGTTCTAAATATTTTCCATATGCGTGGGGGAAAAAAGTCACTTTCAGTTTCCAGTTTTCAGAGGAGCTGCACTTGCGCAATATGTCTCTTTTTTTTTTATCCATTAGCACCAGAGCCTCTAATACTTGCAGGAGTATCTGGGATTTCAAACTAACAGAAAGGATAGCTGTCTGTTGCACACACGCTGCAGACTACATGAGACAGATTTGAGCTAAGGGGCAGAATGCGGGGACTTTATGGCATTTTACTCTTTTTCATCTTTGTCTGGTGCATCAGGGGTAAGTTTTGTTACTGAACTAGTTTATTTACTCACATTGTTAAGTTATGTTCATATTCAGTGTCATCGTGCTGTTGAATATTTAAGTCTTTTTATTCTTTCATAGATGTTTGTGGTTGTTGATGGCAAGATTGTGGCCCTCTTTTGGTAGACATTATTAAAACATATTTAAACATTATAAATGTTGTAAAATCATTTCACAGTTTACCAAAATGCAAAGTTGGCTTTAGGTTTTCTTAAGTAGTGAAATTCATTAAATACCTGCATCTTACCAAAACACAAATATGCATGAAGTTGACAAGTAACAAATTCTGTGCAAAATGTATCTTCTGATGAACTGTTTGAACTGTCCCTTGCATGTCAGCTAAGAAGACGCGGTGGTGCACTGTGTCAGATCCTGAGCAGAGGAAGTGTGCAGAGCTAGGTAAAGCTCTGGTGGCAGTGCTGCCGCCAGATGCTGTGGCAGCTTTTGCAAGACTCTCGTGCATACGAGGATCCAGCACGACTGACTGCATTGATAGGATCAGGGTGAGCCATTCTTCACCTTAAATGCAATTTCATAAATTTAGCAAAAAGGTGTGCAAAGAACAAATAAGGCCATATAGCAAACTACTACCATATGTTTGTGTGTGTTTTCTGTGTATTTTTATACATGTATAATAGCTTAAATTTATACAATAAAACATTTTCTTGACAAATACAGAAAACAAAACTTAATGCCAAGGTTGAAAACTAAAAATAGTATCCTAAATTGGAAAAGAGAATAGGCGTGTAGAAAACGTATGGATGTCAAAATGCTTTGAATCAAAAATGTGTCGTATAAAGTCGTAGGGCGTACCAGGCTCTGGGGTTTGTAAAGCTACATGCAACAATGAATAAGGCCAAACTGTTTTATAGAGCTGCTAAATTTTTGAGGCTGATATCAACATTTGAGAGTTTAAAATCTAATAACAAAATCTCGTCTGAAATGATTTTTTTAATATAAACTTTTTTGGTGACCGAGGTACGATAAAGTTGAAAAATCAACGTGTGAGTGCTCCCTGATGGACAGACACCGTTTCTAAATAACCTCAGACATAGCTGTGTCATTGTTGTGCTGCAATTTCATCAGCTACCATATATATGTGTATGTGTAGCCTATGTATCAGTTTATCTCCAGGCCTATTCCTAATAATGACCTGTTTACAGTGCCACAGGCTGGTACATGAAAAAATATCAAAACCTGGAAGAGCCAAAGCCATTGATTGATACTGTTTTCATATTCATCAATCATAACTGAAAAGACAAAATGTCTCATGGAGATGAAAAGCTGTCCTTGATTAGATTAGATGTTGAACATGTTTGACGACATTTTGTATGTTGAAAGTCTTAAAAGGTGAATGAACCCTGATGGACCGTCACTATATTGAGCTCTTCTTTCTTTGTAAGACTCACTGTGTTAGTTCTTTGTTTCAGGCTAACCGTGCTGATATAGTGACGTTAGATGCAGGGGAAGTTTATTCTGCTGTTAGGCAGTTTGACCTTGTTGCCATCGCCAAGGAGATCTACAGTGATGGTAGGTGTGCTTCACATTTCTTCATCATGTCTTTTCAGCGCTGAGGTCTGAGTCAGTATACCTGTCTGTGTATGTCCACCTGTGTCTACACTGAGTCCTGCAGGAGGCTGTATTCTGTCTGTGGCTGTGGTGAGAAACAGCAGTTTGGACATACGATCCCTGCAGGGCCACAGGAGCTGTCATAGTGGGGTGCGGTGGACTGCTGGATGGAGTCTCCCGCTCGGCTTTCTGCTGTCCCGCAACTACCTGAGCTGGTCAAAGGAGCAGCCGCTCAGTCAGGGTAAAGAGATTATAATCAGCTACCATTGAAAACAGCACTGTGTGGAAGTTTCTTCTTTCTGTTTTGTCATTTCTGGTCCGCCTTCTGGTTTTTCGATCCCCTGACTTGTTTTTCTCCTCTCGAGCAGACATAAGTACCTTTTTCAATGCCAGCTGTGTCCCCGGAGCTTCTGCCATGGCACCACCTCTGTGCGCTCTGTGCCAAGGCCAGAAGTCATTCATTCGCCAGAAGAATTACCACTGCGAGACGTCTCACAGTGAGCCCTTTTACAACAGCCAAGGGGCCCTCAGGTCAGGCTCGACAAAGGACCAACAATCTCTCAACCTGCACCACAAATTCAAAACACGTAGACAGTCAAAACAGCATGAAGTGTATTTGTCCTGTTGTCTCTTTTTTTTTTCTGTCACAGATGTCTCAGGAGTGGGGCAGGAGATGTTGCATTTGTGGACCATTTAGCTCTTGAAAGTATTGCAGGTAAACTATCTTCTTTTATTCTGTTACATTTAAAACACTTTTCTGAGGCAACCTGGTGGCCTAGGGGTTTACTGAACATGTCATTGCAATGTCTCCAGTCCAGTCCGGTACCCTCCTATGAATTAATTTTAAGCACCATTGCTAAAGAATAGTAACACAAATTATAAAATCGTAATAAACATAAAGAAACAATACAAACATGAACATCTATTTAATAATTTCTACTGTCTGTCTATTTAATAAAAGCAAAAATGGCCAAATAATACTAGGAAAAAAAAATAACTGCAGTTAATTACACCATTAATTCCTAACCAGGTGAGTACATGTAGTGAAATATATATACATAGATATATAAATTTGTGTATACGAGAAAAAGAAGCATTAAAAACGGTTACAAACAAGTTTGAGGCTGATAATAATCAAAATAACCAATAAAACATCCCCTACAATAAGCTGTCACTATTTTCCACCAACTGAGTCAAATGTAACACCTGAACACCACCTGCTGCAATTGAGAGTTCTAGTTTGTACTGAGCAGGGAAGGAGAAAAAAACAAGTAATGGATAAATGATTGAAAAAAGTGATTGTAGTACAAATGTCAAACTGATCAATCTTAAACATCGACAATTCCAAGATCACTTAGTCTTGTATGAAAAGAAATATTACAACAATATCTATTTTATATCATTAATAGCAGGGGAGAGGGATGGTTATAAGATTTTTGACATTTCTGTCTGTATCTCGGCGCTCTTTTAAGCCAGTGAGCTCACCTTAAATTCTAACATTCAAGGATTCTGTTTCAAATAGCTTTTTAATGGAAAAACAGATAGACTTTGTTTTCTTGGTGTTTTGTGTCAAACAGGAGGCTTTAAGCTGACACAACTCCCTTGGGTCTCACCTATTAAATAATATCCAGTGTGACATCAGTTCAGTAAAACACATTCTGGACATAACAGGTGGTGCTGATGAATAATCGACCTGCAGAATCAAACTGATTAAAGCATTGTAACATCTGCTGATTCTGTTTCTTCCCTCAGATAGTGACAGAGATGAGTTCAGGTTACTGTGTACAAATGGCACGCAGGCTCCTCTCAGCCACTACAGAAGCTGTAATCTGGGTCGTGGTCCCGGAAGCGGCATGGTCACCAGAGTTAACTTTCGCAAGGTCGCTCGCAAATTTTTAGTGACAGCGCAGGTACATTATTTTGTTCAATCATTTTCTTTTCCCACTTTTGCCCACAAAGATCACACACTTTTTCTCACTCTACATGCCCATAAATGTCCTTTTTACCCCAATAAAATAGCCCTAAAGGATTCTTTACTGATATTTAGATGCTGTTTGGTCAACAAGGAAGAGAGGGGCAGCGCTTCCAGCTCTTCAACTCATCTTCTTTTGGAGAAAACGACCTTCTCTTCAAAGATGCAACGGATAAGCTAGCTGTTCTGTCAGATGACATGGACGTCAGTCGAGTGCTGGGGCTGGACTATGTGGCGCTCCTCAAAGGCCTTGGACATGAAGGTGTGATGTGGTCGTTCATGTTTATATTCAAAACGGACAGGCTGTGAATTTCTGACCTCACTGAACCTGTATGTGTGCAGGAAGTTCACTGGAGGACAGTGTCGTGCGATGGTGCTGTATCAGCCATGCAGAGCAGAAGAAATGCGAGCAGTGGGCTCTCAGTATAAAGTCAGACCCGCTGGTGTGTGTTAGAGCGGTCTCCATGCGCGACTGTATCGAGAAAATTAAGGTAAGTCATTCAAGTTATATAAATCACATGATATCGTGATATATTCTAGTGTCAATACACAAAACAACTGTAATTAGAGCTGCAGCTACCTGTATCCTCTCACAACGTCACTACAGAGGGACCAGGTGGACGCCGTGTCGCTGGATGCAACTCACTCTTTCATCGCAGGAAAATGTGGTCTCGTTCCTGTAGTCACAGAATATTATGGTGAGGCTCTGTTTACGTTGTTTTTCTGCTGAGGTCTTTTATAAAAATACACAATCACACAGCTAAAAATATCTTTCTTCAAACATCTTTTAAGTCATTTATGAAGCCAACACACTCAACTTTGTTGGTTGCAGTGGCTCAGAAATGAAGATTAGCTGTTTTTTTCTGTTTTTTCATTAGTGTAAATATAATATTTTTGAGTTATTGACTGTTTTTGGAAACTGGAATGTCTTTCTCCAGACCAGGTTGTGAAACTGGTTCGGGTTGTTCTGCCTGTGTTTTGGGATCATGAATGGCTGAACCCAAGCCATGTTACTGAAGCAACTTTGTTTTGGATCACATTACCTTGCGTGTCAGGACCCACACTACTCTGTTTTTGATTGGTTAGTAGTTCGTACTGCGCATGTGCAACTCCCAACAAAGATCTAACAGAAGTGAGATGACTCACTCGGTAGTTAAAATGGAGCGTTGAACACACGGTTAAAAGAGGAGCTGCGGCAATGTGCAGTATAACAAAAATATGTTGTTTTTTGAAATGAACCAATGTAAACTTGTTCTGGTACAAAATCAAATTATGAACCTGACAATGAGCATAATATGACCTCTTTAATATACAAGATTCAACTTTCCCATATTTTCTCAAGCTTCTATAGTATTTGAGTTGAGATAAATCCAATCATCACTTAAAGCTATTAATGTCTTTAGTAGAGATGCAACAATTAATTAATCAATTAGTTGTCAACTGTTAAATTAATCTTCAACTATTTTCATAATCGATTAATTTGTTTGAGTCATTCTTTTATTTTTCTTTGATTCCAGCTTCTTAAATATAAATTATGTTCTAGTTTACTCCTGTATGACAGTAAACGGAATGTCTTTGGGTTGTGGATAAATCAAGACGTTTGTGGACATTA